TGCTTTTATGAGAATCTGAACTGATAATACATAAGTGTACTGGACTGGCTATTGTGTACTCATCATACCGAGGACTTGAAAATCAACAATGGATTGTGGATATTAGATAAAAGAGGCCAAACGTCAAACAAAAGAAAAAATAAATTATTGAAATATTAGATACCAAAGATTTGTTATCAGGGCATCTAGTCTTTAATAACTATGAATATCGGTCACGGGTGTTATTAAGCAGAAAATGACGAGTGAGGCGGCCATTTTAAAAACCATGTGTCAACAATGACAGCTCAGTAAATGTTACCATGCTAACTTTCTTCCTCACTATAACTACTTGCCTTAATTCGTTTTTTTTGTATCGAAAATGTAGACGCAATAAAAAAGTCTTATTACATAATTTTAATATTGGGTTTTTAATTTGATTAAACGCTATCGAGATCATTAATGTAAACCACAAACAATCAACATCATTTAGATGTGTTAACTGTCAAATGATAAATTGTTTTTCGATTTCCTATATCCTCCGCACTACTAACGTGGGGACCCAAGAACAAGTTCGACTTCAGAATTACAAATACCAGAAACTAAATTATAGATATCATTTTGTGGGCTGTTAAATTTGTGTGTTAATTAATCTTTATGTAGGTATATCAAAATGTTAAGTTGGTTTGCGTTCTCTTCAAAAACTTAAAAAGTTCTGAACAAAGTTTTGAGACCTGCTTCAAAGATTGTTATTATCTATTTCTCAACGCGAGAAAAAAAAATAAGGGACAAAACTAACGAGTTTAGTCCCTTATTTTTCATCAATGCAATCACAACGCGCCAGAGCAAGCGTGGTAAGTTACGGGGAGTTTTAAATCATGTTTAGGCACACAACGCCATTTAATTTCACACTAAGCAGAACTAAGCTTTAATAGTACATGAAAGCTAGATTGACTAATAGAATACTTATATACATGTTTTTTAAAATAAAAGCTTATATACATTAAGGCTATGTGGTTTTAAGGAACCCGACAGAGGATCTAGACTCGTACGTGTTTCTGCTCTAATAACACAACTTTCACATCAATATAATTAAGATTACATAAAATATTCATAATTAAAATAGTAATGCTGTATTTAAAAAATCAGTTTTTTGTAAAATAAAGCATTAAATTTTTACAACAAAAAAATACTGGGACATGTTTTATTAGTAGTATATATTAGTAATAATGAGATAGATTATATACTAAAATAGCACATAGGGTACTTTTATACAGGATTTTTTTGACGAAATCGGTATTAGTTCGAGCGAAGCTGTAGGTAGAAGGTAGTATTTTTTGTTATAAAACAATCGCCGAGACCTTTAAGAACATAAGTGCTTTTTACATTACGTATTTTTGTGTTTTCATAGGCACTTACATTCTTTTTTAAGATAACAACTGTCCCTTGTGTAATCCCGTCTTATCGTGTAGGCTTCGTCAGGTCTAGTGCAGACAACTGTAATATTAACAAAAAATACATATCTATTACTATTCATACATATATTTGACACAAACCCTGTTTTTTCTTTTTATCGTGTGGAAACTCCCCCGGGCCGTAACTCCACCGGGGTTTACGGCGGGGTAGTGTGTCGGAATCGGACCGACTAAAACTACGCGGTGTGCCACTCTGCGCGTGAAAGTTAGGGATCCCTTTGACACAAAACCCTAGGCCTAACCCATCTGGCCAGCGTGTTATAGTATGCCAAAACCTCCTTTCTAAGGAGGGCTATGTCCAACAGCGGACTTTTAAAGGCTGTTGATGTGATGTGTTATATTTTAATAATATATAACATTACATTACGTTTTATAGATTACGAGTTTTATATTATTTTACTGGAACCCATATTTAATTCTTGTTTATGTAGACAGCTCCTATTATTACCAGCGTTTTGTAGCCTATTACTTATCTTAATTAATTTTCTGCATAATGCAAAAATATTTCTTTTAATCAGGCTAAAACTAACGTGGTTTACGAGTAATGATACTAAGTGTAGTATATCATATATACATAAAGTGACTGTTTTATTAAATTATGAGTTACGTCCTGTTATGTTCGTGTAGTTTTCCATTTTATTGATACGACCGGTTCGCTGCAGCTTTCCTGTGAGAACTTATTTAGTGGATATCTCGCATATTATCTAAAGATTTATGGACGACAACAATCTTCTGTCTTAATTAAATCAAAACGGGAAATTATTTGTTACAATTTATATTATTACTAAAGAATTTTCATATATAAACTCATGACTTTTATCTCAAGAGGGGTAGACATGAAACGCCCACATTTTGATAACTATAATTTCAACTTAATGCCGACAAAACGGGTACATGTATATTTATAAATACATACATATGATAGATAAATTACACCCAAACACTATTTGTCCTTCGTGGGAATCGAACCCTCTGGCTTAACAGCTAGAATCGCTGACCACTATATAGAATTTTCAGCACGTTTTATCTTTAAAACAAAAAATCGTGGAGCCGGTACTCACGTACTAATGATATATTAGTATCCCTAGACATCCTAACCGACAGACCTGACCCAAAACCAGAGTAGAGATACCACGTCGTAAATAAATGTTTATGTATTTTTAGATTTTGCTTAATGGTACGTCAGACATCAGACGAGGCCGGCCATCTGCCCTCTGAAAGACGTTTCACTTAATATTTATTGAGGTCTTCACACTCCAGTAAAGTGTCATTAGGTATATTTGTACGTGGCCATTACCTACCTGTTTGACCCGTCCACCGGTTCTTAGTTATAAACAGATAATGACTGTTGCTTTATTTGTACGGAGTACTTTACAAATTTTGAGAAATATACATATTATTTGTGGTGTTATTAGGGGTTTCTTTTTAAAATACAACTTCCGCACTAGGAATATATCCTGTGTCGCAGGGGACTTGACAAACATATATGAAACGGACACAAAGAACACTCAGACTAAAAACAACAATTGGTGGATCACACAAAGTGTTGTCCCATGTGGGGATCGAACCCACAACACTCAGCGCGTTAGGAAGCGGCGAGGTGGCCGCTTACACCACTACGTCAAGTTTATTGAATGAATATAGTATTATTAAATATTATTGAATACTGTAGAGTATTTTTGGGTTTGGTATTGTTTCTGCATATTTCACCCAATTTACTTAACTTGTCTGACCTAGTGTGGTGTTTGGATAGACTTACTTAGCGGGCCCTGCATTATGATATTAAACAATTTTAATGGCAAAAAAACATACACAATAACAGCAACTCGCGACACTGTGACCGATACCGACACCTCTGTGTATAAATATCTACATATATTGCCCCGTTTACACGAGAGTTGAGTTTGGGTTGAATACATTAAAAATATAACTAAATATAAAATAAATATATATTGTGTATATACGTACAACATAGATATGTATTCATGTCGGAACATTTCGAATCGAAAAAAAATGTTCTCTGTAATAATAATTAAAAAAAAAAGTTTTCACTTCTGTCGGCACTCCCGTAGACCCACTGTTTTTTTAATTAAATTAATTTTGCTTACTATTTAGCAAAACAGAGATTGTTGCTATTGTGTGTATTGATTTGCTATTGTGTGTATTTGAGTCTACATAAAAGACGATTTCAAACAATTTTAAAAAATTTACGAAATAAAGATAGTAACCTACTAACTCTAGGCGGGAGTACATTCAAACGCACTTTTGTTTTTTAAGTTGCATCTGTCCTTGAGCGGCGGTAGTGAAGTGATCTGCCTGTTCGTTTGCCACCTAAACCTTATAAAAAAAAACATCCATACTAATATTATAAATGCGAAAGTGTGTCTCTCTGTCTGTTTATCTGTTACATCTTCATGCTTAAACCGCTGAACTAGTTTACATGAAATTTGGTATAGATATATTTTGAGTCCTGGGAAAGGACATAGGATAGTTTTTATCCCAGAAATTATTCTTTAAGGGGGTGAAAAGGGTAATTTTTATTAGGAATCAATAACTGCTAAACCGATTTAGATGAAATTTGGTATGGAGACGTTTTCATCATATACGCGAGTGGAGCCGCGGGCAAATCTAGTGAGAAATATTTTTTTTTTTTTTACACAACAAATCATAATCGGATTATTATTCAAACCTGTACTTATAAAACAGTATTTTAAAATAGTGTCGACTCGGCGTGGTATCGGGCAACTTCACCGCACAAAGGCGCCCTCTGTAGGTGGATTTTTACATAACTTTATATGAAAATCGCATTAGCTCAACGAAGGCGGGTTGTAGTACATTTTCTCGTAAAACCAGGGACGTTTTTGCATCTCATTACCAGTGCTATTGCGGCGCCTTAGATTACCTTTTGGTAAAGAACACAAAGGTAACATGTTTTCATGAAAAACAATGGAATTTAGGGTCGTAGGTCTAATCCAGGTGTGGCGAAAACAACATGTGTCAGTGGACGCGCGTTTTACACAAAACTTGTTGTTCTATGTACCTATGTACATTACTGACATTATGTTTATAACAAGAATAGCCGAGAACAAATCAACATATGTAAAACTAGCTGGCCCACGCATCTTCGTATGCGTCTCTTAAAAGGAATAACTTGCCCCGTTTTTGCAACACTTTTAATTTATGAAAAATGTTACTATCTTTATTTCGTAAAATGTCTAAAATTGATTAAAATCGTCTTTTATGTAGACTCTAAAGTCGTAGATCAACACACACAATAGCAACAATCTCTGTTTTGAAAAATAGTTAGCAAAATTAATTTTAATAAAAAAAACAGTGGCTCTCTGGGAGTGCCGACAGAAGTGAAAACTTGAAAATTAATTTATTTTTTATTAGTACAGGAAACATTTTTGATTTTTTTTTCGATTTGATAAGTTCCGACATGAATAAAGTAAACAAAACTTTTATCTTTACTTATTATTAAATTGTCCAAAAAACCTTAACGTGTAATAACTAAAAATATTCATGTGATTGTTTATATCTTTGTTGCAGCATACCGAAAATGCCAAGCGGATGATTTCCAATGTGGATTGGAAGGTGTTGGACCAGGAAAGATGTCTTTACAAGGACCCTGCATACCCAAGGAAAAGAAGTGTGATGGGTGAGAATATTATTGTCAGATACGTTTTTGCGAACGTCATTATTTTGTAAGCGAAATAAGTGTTACTGCTTGTTACTATTACTATTCTACTTTGTCAAATTCTATATTTTATTTTGCACCTAATGCATATAATATTTCTACATCGTCTGAAGGTTGACTGGGAGAGAATGCCCCATGGCATTAAGCCCGCCTTTGTACAACATGTGCATTAGGTTTTAAATAAATAAATAAAAAGAAAAATATTATATAGCTTCGAGGCTTGCACTCTAGTAATATCGGTTACTAGCTTTAAGCTGCCGCGTGTATGTCGGTTATGGTGGTAAAAAGTAGTCTATATTACTCGTTGATAATGTAGTTTTCTATTGGTAAAAGAATTTTTAAAATAGGTTAAGTGGTTTAGGCGTAAAAGTGTAACAAAAAAAAAAAGCCGTGTGGTGTCGTGGGACACCCGATAGGAACGAAGTTGTAACGATCGAGTAAAACTGATTCGGCACATTTTAATTACAACGCCATCTATAAAAGCGGCTATTACCTACATATTTTTCAGTTGGTTTCTAATTAAAACAATTTATACATTGGTAAAATCTCCTTGAGAAATGATTTCCTATCTATTCGATAGATGAATGGACTGACATAAAAAGATAGAAATGAAAATATCTGGCTTGCTTTCTATAAGAGAGAGAGACAGACAGAGAAACATGCGACGCCGCACAGCTTACAATAGCTTACTATAGCAAAAAGTGTCGTGACCAATTTTCCTAAGAATTTTTTCCGTCTAGCCCCCTTTCACAACGCGCGAAAAGGAACTTCGTTCCAACAAACTCACTTTCAATAGTGTTGTAAAATAAATATTCCACATTTATTATGTCCCGTAGTAAGAACGTGGAATAGGCTATTGAAGTCAAGTGTAACAAAAAATAGTACCCTTGTTCATGCTTTTTGAATTTTTAAATATATAATTATGTAAATAAAATTCAGTATGATTAAATTATGATTCTTCATTATGACTCAATCAAACTGTTACTGGGACCGTTATTTGTTAACTTAGCGATCTATTTACATACATAACAGTAGTTTGGCGACGCGTAAACCGTTTATTCTGAGCAAAGTGTAAAATAAAATAAAATGTGTAAATTACCTAAAGTACTAGTGTATACTCCGTCCGGTCCGTGTGGTGACGGATTAAGAATACGGAGTGTCACCACCCCTGTTCATCCCGTGGGTGTCGTAAGAGACGACTAAGGGAGCTAACCAGGACAACCAGCACTGCAAGGAGAAGGAAAACTTGACACAAACCGTATAACAACCCTTCTGGCCAGCGTGGTATAGTAGGCCAAAACCTCCTTTCTGAGGAGAGGCCTACGTCCAGCAGTGGACTGTTAAAGGCTGTTGATGATGATGATGATGACTAGTGGACTTTATCTCTAACAATTTGTAGTGTTTTTTTTTTATTTTTTGTAATTATTGTTTTTTCTTCCTGACATTAATTTATTATTTTGACTATAGTTTGACTTTGAATGTTGACATTGTATGTATCACAATATTATTATAGTAATCAATGATGCTAATAATATACCTATAGGTTATTTTAAGTTATGTTTAAATTATATGCAATTATAAATGTACAAATTGAAAATTTGCACACCCATAGTGGTAAAGCACAGTGAACCTGTTGTGAATGAATACCATGTAATTAATACCTGTGTTATGCAAATAAACAATCTGAATATGTATACTATTTGTATAGCTCTGCTTAGTTTGGGACTAGATGGCGTTGTGTGAATGTGGTACAATATTATTATTATTATTATGTCATTTTATACCTTGTCTGGTCTCCCTTTTATTTTAAAGGGGTAACAAAATCTAACACACGGGCCTTAGCCAAGTGTGCCAAAAAGGGATGATGATATGAAGTTAAGATGATGAGGATGAAGCGAGAAATTTGCGTGTGAGACGGCATGTGTTAAGAAGGACTGCTTTTTGTAAGAGTATGAGAGAGGATTTCGGCATTTCCAATGTGTTGAGGCTATCTTGAAGAGTCTTCGGTACTACGCCAGTTGTAGATATGACAATGGGTACTATTTTAACTCTATCTACCTGCCATTGCCTTTTTATTTCCGTTGCTAAGTCTATGTATTTAGTCATCTTTTCTGTGTGCGTCGTGAGGAGATTGTGTGTGTTACATACTGCTATGTCTATAATAAAAACTATTTTGTTAGTTTTGTCTAGTTAGTTTGTTAGTACGGTATAATGCGCTAACGTGAGCCATCTACAACTTGAGACCTAAGAATCATTAACAGATCTTGCTAGTTTATATTGTTACAACTAGTTTCATCGATCGAAACAATACTTATTACTTTATTTGAGTCCTAAACTCAATACTTCCTTGTTATTTTTGTAGACAATAATATACAAGTTACCTTTTTTTTTCTGTGCGGAAATCCCCCCTTTTTTCCGTGCGGAAAGCCCCTCGAATACCACCCACCGGTGGCTATGTCGGACTCGAACCGACTAAAAACCGCACGCCGTCTCGACCAACAACAAGTTACCTAGAAATATAGTGTTTTAGTATACATATAGTGTTGATTAGAAAATGTACCCAATTGTTAAAAATGTTTATAACTGAATAAGTGCTAGGTATTTAATTTTTATGGATACAAGTAATTCCAATGCATGTTGTTTACAAGTTTTTCGTCCCTTGAAACGTGTTTGTCATCTTAATTTTACAGATATTTGGACTGCAGAACAGGGCGAGACGAGCAGGATTGTTCGGGACAGACTCTCGCTTGCAGACTGGATCAGTTCCGCTGTGCGAACGGGAACAAGTGCGTGGACGCAACCGTCAAGTGTGACCATAAAGACGACTGTGGGGATAATTCTGATGAAGCACATTGTAGTAAGTTTAGTTTTTAAATAAAAACAAACCGCGTGGGTAACTAGGTACAGGAGCTTTGATGATGGAGATTTTAGAAATAGACAGAGATTTGTTTTTATTACCTAAAATTATAATTTAGTAAATCATTATATTATGTATTTATCAATAATAAAAAAGCGTTCAAATCGACAATACAAGTATAAGTCTCGTTCGTATTTTATATTTTATTATATTTGGGGAGCTTACGGCTAAATTTACAAAATACATATTATGTTAAATGCCATTTACAAGCTTCCACATGTAGACAGAAAACAGTGCTGGTATCTATAATAATACATACTAAATAGACTTACATATACATAGATAGTTACAACAGTTTAGGATCTAAAGATATAACATTTTTGAGGTTTCTGGTGCTACTGCAGAATAGATCTATGAGTTCACTGTGGTTTAGTCTATTAAAAGATCTAGAAACCCTGGGTATGTAGCTGTTATACCGATAATTACTGTGGCAAAATGGAACATGGAGTAGACTACTGGAACGCAAATTTCTGGTGGGCACATTAAGTTTAATATTGCAAAGGACATCAGGACAGTCTAACCTGCTTTGAGCTATATTTAAGAGGAGACAGATATCAGCTATTTTCCTACGGAGAGAAAGAGGCAAAAGATGTAGTTTACTGCATTGCTGTTCGTAATCGAGATGAGGTAGTTTGAATTTAAAACCTAGGTATCTGATAAACCGTTTTTGGATTTTCTCTATGTTATTACTGTAGACATTATAACAGGGATTCCAAATTTGGCTCGAAAACTCGAGATGGCTGCGTACATAGGCACAGTAGAGAATAGCTATATTTTTATTTTTTTGTTAAAAAAATGTTTTTTATTTTTATGTAAATATTTATTTCTACTATTTACCTTTTATTGTGAGTTTAGGTGTTAGTAAGATTTTTTTTTCTTTCTACTTTGACGTCTACCTTATTTGTTACCAGGTTTCCCTCCCTGCCACATAGGACAGTTTCGTTGCGGTAACGCACTATGTATACCAGCCTCGTACCACTGCGATGGCTACCAGGATTGTTCTGATGGAACCGATGAAGCCAACTGCACTGCTATAGCCTGCCCTGACAACAAATACCTCTGTCCTAAAGGAGGCCCGGGAGGAAAGCACAAGTGTATATCGAGGTCTCAACTATGTGATGGGAAGAAGGATTGTGAAGATAACGCTGACGAGGAAACTGCTTGCTGTACGTATTTTCCAACTTCTCAAATTTTCTTCTGATTAATTTCGTTGTGGGTTCCAAGACAGTTTAATTTCTTCATAACTCGGTGTGTTCGTGGGTCACTGCTGTGGATCCTGGTGTACAGGAGTTACAGTGGTGGGCGTGTGGGTGGGATTAGTCCCTACAGTGTACGTATTTTCAGGATTAACGAAGGGAGTATCCCTTAACTTACGCGAATAAACACTGTCAATCAGAAAGTATATTTAGTTATAAGTTATGAGCTATAAATAGATTGTGTAAGTGCTCATATTATAGCACGAGAACAACGTGTTGTATATGTATTTACTTATGGGACAAATCATGTTGAAGTAAGGCTGTGTGAAAATTACTTAGAACTTGACTCTCTGAGTCAACTTGTAACAAAGTCGGTGTTTTCTGGAAGTTAGTTGCATTAATGACTCAGTTTTCTGTTAAATAACTTATCATTAAAAAACGAGCAATATAATGTCCAAATCAGTTAAATAGAGTTATTTTCTGTTTAGCTACCGCATCATGCCCGGCTTTGGAATGCGAGTACAAGTGCGTGGCGTCGCCAGCCGGCGGTATCTGCGCGTGCGCAGCGGGCCTAATGCTCGCGTCCGATAACAAAACTTGTATCGACCGGGATGAGTGTAAGGAGTGGGGCTTCTGTCACCAGCTGTGTGTTAACACTCCGGGATGTAAGTATCGACTCGAGTGTGCGGTAGTGGTATCGGCACACTCATAGTGCATCGCTCCCCAAAGAAAAAATATAAACAAATATGGGTTTTTAGCTCGGAATCTGTAGATACGCATCCTAAAATACAATGCGTGATAAACGATTTTCGTCTCGGTTATTACAAATTTTAGTGGCTCGAAAGTTTTAGCCATTTATCTGGACTAGTCGTCGAAGAACGCTATCACAAGAAGCGGTACGCCCGCCGTGTCATCGCTCCTTCGCTGAGTCTGTGGATATAGAGCTACTAGCGAATCTGTCTGATGGCGTGTCATATACGTGAGGTAAGACGTTTGGGACGGAGAGTGAGAGGTGTGTCTGTCGGCAGCGTACGTGTGCTCGTGCGCGCCGGGCTACTCGCTGGTGGAGGGCGCGCGCTGCGCGGCGGGGGCGGCGGGCCCGGCGCTGCTGCTGGCGCACGCGGGCGCGGTGCTGCGCATGGACCTGCACGGCCGCGCGCCCGTGCTCCTCGCCAACGCCACGGCCGCCGCCGGCCTCGACTTCCACTACCGCCGGAATCTGCTTTTCTGGTCCGATTTGAAAACTAGGAAGGTCAGTCGAGTCTTTAATATGTTCATGTCATTGCACATCAGAATTAACCTAAGTACAATTTTTAGAATCATGTTTTGGTATCGGTATTGGTTGTGGGCTTCGGTTTCCGCATTTAGACTCAGAGTGGTCCTCTATGCGTCGAGGATTGGTTGACTAGGTGAGCCAGCCGAGCTCCTTCCAGAAGCGCAGAAGCCTCCCGGGGCGTTCACAGGCTTCTAGGAGCGACTTTATATCAGGAATGATACTTGCCCGTTGTGTGGTGGTTAGAATCATCTTATTACTATGTATAACAAAGTTTTTAACTTTGATATTTATTTTAGTGACACGCTATAAAGATATCCTACACCCCCATGTTATAAATCATGAATACATGGATTTAGCAATGTCGCAATTTACTTTTTTTTTTTTAATTTTATTATAGTATTTTCACTAATATGTTGTTTGAGTAAATTATTTTTTTAATTACTGTTATTCTGCAGAACGACTTGGTCAGAGAGGACTGCTTATCGATTTGCCTTTATATTTGCGTAAAGATGGAAACCCTTTCTTACACTATCCTCACAATTAACGATAACTCATATATTAGTATGAAAGATTTTCGAAAAAAACTTGAAATGTATCATTACACCTACTTATTCCAGATTCACTCCCAACAATTAAGTCTACCGGCGGGTCTGACCAGCTACGCGGGCACCGACATCACGGTGACCGGCTCGTGGGCTCCCGTCGCTTTGGCCGTGGACTGGGTCGGTGACAAGCTTTACGTAGCCGATGCTATCGGACAGAAGATTGACGTGTTTGAGCTCGACGGAAGGTGGCACGCGGTCGTTCTAGGATCTAATCTAACGAATCCATCTGATCTGGCGCTGGATCCTACGTTGGGGTTGATGTTTGTTGCTGATAGTAGTCAGGTTTGTATTTCTTAAATAACAATGTAACATCACGATGATTCTTAGCACGTTTTATGGGTAAACGGAACCGTGACCAATTATAAAATTTGATGAAACGGTGGCGATACCACATGTTTATATGAGGGTAGAGAACAGACTCTGCGTATAAAAGAGTCAAAACATTCATTGGTCATAAACTGGGGGCGCTACAGTAGCACAGGGAACAAACTACGCAGAACAACAGCACTGCAAAGAGAAGGAAAACTTGAAACAAACCCTATACCAACCCGTCTGGCCAGCGTGGTATAGTAGGCCAAACCCTCCTTTCTAAGGAGAGGCCTATGTCCAGCAGTGGACTAGTAATGGCTGTTGATGACTACAGTAGCATTCGGATAATTTATTAAAGTGTTTTGATCATCATCAATTGACTGCACGGATGGCGTAGTGGTTTAAGCGGTCGCCACGCCGCTTCCTACAACGTCGAGTGTCGTGGGTTCAAACCCCACATGGGACAACACTTTGTGTGATCCACAAATTGTTGTTCTGAGTCTGGGTGTTCTTTGTGTCCGTTCCATGTATGTCTGTAAAGTCCCCCGCGACACAGGATATATAAAAAAAAAAGAAAGTAAGCGCCTAAAGTTGTTTGTGTAGGATAGAGAAATAAACATTGAAAGGAAAACATTGAGTAAATTTTCTATTGGCTTAAATAATGATAAGATTATTAGACATTGTGTTATAGACATGCGAAAATGGTCAACGAGTATTACAGACAATAAATAAACGTATCATAACTTTCAGACAATAAAAGTATTTTAATATTTAACTCAGAAAACTTCACTCCGTCTATAACGGTTATGTTCATGTCATTCCCGTTGGCTACAGCGCTATTCTGGTTGGTTTTATACACTGTTATAGCTGGACACTTTTTCAACTTTCCCCTCATAGTCCGTTGTGTGTGTCTCCTTATACTCTCTGTATACATATTCTAGATTAATCTAGATATTTGTAACGCCATCTAGCGAGTATAAACTGAACTACTTCATCTAGTAGCTTAAATAAGTAGTTTACGTTATCTTCGTTAGATGGCATTGCATTAGTGTTTTACAGTGATTTCGTATCAGTTATTGTCATCAAATAAATCTATCACTTACTTCAGTGATGTAAACACATTTATGCTTAAGCTCAATTTTTCGAACAATATATTTTAAACCTAACCACGACAACAACCACACTTCGAAATATAAGAGTCTTTTATTTTCAGATCATAAGAGCTAACATGGATGGCACACATACGAAGTCAATCGTCTCAGAAGCAGCATACAAAGCATCAGGTATCGCAGTGGACATCATCTCTCGGAGAGTGTTCTGGTGTGACTCTCTCCTGGACTACATCGAGACTGTCGATTATGAAGGCAACAATCGATTCCTCGTTCTAAGAGGACAGCAAGTCCCCAGCCCATCCAGGCTAGCATTATTTGAGGATAGAGTGTACTGGTCCGACAGTACAAAGCAAGGTGTCAGTTCCGTCAACAAATACGAAGGACCTTCCAGCATCCAAGCTATATACAAGATGAAAGATATTAGAGAGCCAAAGGCTATAACTGTGATACATTCTCTGAAGCAGACCTCGGTCAACAACCCTTGCGGCATCAACAACGGCGGGTGTTCCCAGATGTGTATAGTGACAGCACTCCAAAACGGCGGCCTGGGATATCGCTGTGCTTGTAATATTGGCTACCGATTAGAAACTGATTTGAGAAACTGCGATCTAGTCAAAGAGTTCCTTATGTACTCCCAACAGAGATTTATTAAAGGAAAAGTTTTAAATCCCGTTATTGAAGGATTTAGTGAAGCCATTTTGCCTATAGTGTCACGACGTGCTCGGTTCGTCGGCTTGGATTTCGATGCCCGGGATGAGCACATTTACTACTCCGATGTTTTACAAGATGTCATTTATCGAGTCCACAGAAATGGAACCACCAAAGAAATTGTACTCGCATCTCAAAATGAAGGTGTCGAAGGATTAGCCGTAGACTGGGCTTCAAAGAATCTGTACTACATAGACTCCAGGAAAGGAACTCTGAACGTTTTATCGACTAGAAATATTGCTCACAAAAGAACGTTATTGAAAGACCTGAAAAGACCGAGAGCGATTGTGGTACATCCAAACAAAGGGTTTATTTTCTTCTCGGAATGGGATAGACCAGCCAACATCAGCCGAGCGTACACTGACGGAACGAATCTTTTGGTCTTTGAAAATGTAACCCTCGGTTGGCCTAATGGCTTATCGATAGATTTTGAGTCTGATAGACTTTACTGGTGCGATGCTTTGTTGGATCATGTTCAACATTCTAAATTGGATGGTACAGATGTCAAAACGGTCAGCTCAAGATTAATTAGGCATCCATTCTCTATTGTTATTCACAAGGAATTCATGTACATCACTGACTGGCGATTAGACGCCATAGTTCGCTTGCATAAACTCACTGGAGAACAGGAAGACATTATGGTCCGGGAACCTCAAACGAACAGATTATATGGCGTCAAGGTGTACAGTGAAGACATTCAAAGGATAGATCCTATGCAGCCATGCTCGAGAGACAATGGAATCTGTCAGAAACTTTGCTTTGCTGTTCCGAGGAATAACACAGAATTATTAACAGTCAAATGTGGATGTCCGTATGGAGAGAAGCTGGCGCCTGATGGTACGAGTTGTATCGCTGATCCTAACTCTGAGCCTCCAGTTCAAGCTTGCCCCCACTCTTGGGACTTCACGTGTAACAACCAGAGATGTATACCAAAGAGTTGGGTGTGTGATGGTGATGATGACTGTCTGGATAACAGTGATGAAGAACAGAACTGCACTAGTAAGTAAATTTGACACTTAATAGCAAGCTTATTGTAATGACGTTGGCAAAAAATATTCACATGAAGTATCCGTAATGAGGCGTTTCATATTAATGCAACGCTATGTAGTTATTAATTTTCTCGCGGTTACTGGAATTCTTTATGAATATGAATATGGAACAGTAGCTTAAAATTAATCAGCCATATTTTTACTGAATACAATCTCCATTTTTAACATCTAAATAACCATCATCACATCATCACATCAAATGCCTATAAAAGTCCACTGCTGAACATAGGCCTCTCCTTAGAAAGGAGGTTTTGGCCTACTATACCACGCTGGCCAGACGAGTTGGTTTAGGGTTTGTTTCAAGTTTTCCTTCTCAACACAATCACTAAGAGCTTTATTTAACCCTTAACTTTAGTTTGTCCATAATCCAAATGTCTATCGTTGATTATTTTAAATTGTTTACAAAAATCAAAACTTAAATAACATTATTTACTTAAGTATTTTAAATTTTCAGAAACAACCTGTAGCGCGTCAGAATTCATGTGCAAATCGGGACGTTGTATACCTGCGACTTTCAAGTGCGACTCCGAGAACGACTGCGGCGACTTCTCCGACGAGACGGGCTGCGTCAACGTCACATGCAGCTCCTCGCAGTTCCAGTGCGACAACGGGCGATGCGTGCCCAACACCTGGAAGTGCGACTCGGAGAACGACTGCGGGGACGGCTCCGACGAGGGAGCTCTCTGCGCTGAAAAGACTTGCGCCTACTTTCAAGTAAGAATAATAATAATCATCATCATTATCTCGTCCGGGACATCCACTGCTGGATATAGGCCTCCCCCAAGGCTCTCTGCGACCTTCAACAAGTTGTCGGACCACCTCGTACGGGCCTACCCACGCTCGTCGCTGCCCCGCCCACTGCCACTGCCATAGCAACAAGTCTCCGGGCAATGGTAGTGATCTTGCTTCGTCTGCGGATCTCCTCATTCATGATTCGATCGCGCAGAGAAACTCCGAGCATTGCCCTCTTCATTGCTCTTTGGGTGACTTTGAGCCTCCTCATAAAGTCTATTGTCAGCGACCACGTCTCTGTGCGTGAGAATAATAATATGTCGGCACAAATAAGTACACGTGTCGCCTCATATAAACTTATACTAGGTATTTCTTTGGTTTTCTATAAAAAAACGTATTAAACATGTCAAGCGGTTTAATTTAAGGCGAGGTTTGCAAGACTCAGGAGATCTCTCTACACCAGTCAAGCGGTTTTATATTAAAGAGATATTTGCTAAATCTTTTTAGGCTACAAAAGAAGAAATATACTAGTTTTTTTGCAAATTGTATATTTGTATGATATTAAAAGTTGTCATTATGGTTTCCCAGTTCACTTGTCCCCGCACTGGACACTGTATTCCTGCATCGTGGGTATGTGACGGAGACGATGACTGCTTCGATAAGCAGGACGAGGCGGACTGCCCGCCCGTGTCCTGTCTCGCGAGTCAGTTCAAGTGCGCAGATCTCAAGCAGTGTGTACAGGTACGTTTACGGCACCATTTTGTGGATAAACACTGATCTATTCAAATGACACTGACTCCTCGTTCGATTACTAGTAGACTGCAACTGCCTAATTTATCAGTGTCAACTTTCCCTTTATTGTCTCTAGTCTCAAATGCCTAACGAACTGCAATAGGTTTGCTAGAAGGCAACATGCGGGGGATTCGCAAATCCGACAGCGGTGGCACGTTTATCACGTAAAGTTCTGTCCCGCAGGAGGCGTACAAGTGCGACGGCATCCCGGACTGCAACGACGGCAGCGACGAGGCGGGCTGCCCGTCGCTGGCGCCGCACCAGTGCCAGCCCGACAAGCAGTTCCAGTGCAAGTCGTCGGGCATCTGCATCCCGCACACGTGGTACTGCGACGGCACGCCGGACTGCGAGGACCTGTCGGACGAGCCGGCCAGCTGCGGCGCGGCCGCGTGCGCCGCCAACTACTTCCGCTGCGCCAGCGGCCGCTGCGTGTTCAAGGCCTACGTGTGCGACGGCCGGGACGACTGCGGCGACGGCTCCGACGAGGGCCTGCAGCACGCCTGCGCGCCGCCGCCCTTCAGGTGCGTCTCGCTCGCGGCCCCGGACACTCGCGTCACTCTTCTAGTGTATAAAAAACACCAAGAGCTATTCTAAAATGTAGTATTCGAAAAAAATATTAATTAGAAATAGAATATAAAGGTTATACTTAATTTTTAAATTAAAAATACAAAACTATCACACACATACACACATAGTTTTATATCTCAAATGCATTCCAGTTTCATGTAATAAATTGGTTATTAGCAAACGAAAATCATAGTCAATTAAACTAATAAAAACCGATGAGTTATATGACTAAAATGAATTTATTTTTGCCAACAGATGTCCGCACGACCAATGGCAGTGTCCAGGAATTACTGGCAAATGTGTTAACCTCACCCAAGTTTGTGACAACAACCTTGATTGTCCCAACGGTGCTGACGAAGGTATGTTTATTCAAAACAGCATATTGCAATATAGTTTATTTGTTGATGATTTTAAATATTTAGTAGTCGACTTTAAAAAATTAGAGATTCTTAGTACTTACGTTTTTTATCTTTATAATGCCATAGTTTTGCCAAGTGATCAAATTTCAATAACTCTGTTACACAAAACTACATTAAACTGTTGACATATCAAGAAACTAAACTTTTTTTTGTTCTAATCATTACGAGTGAAAGAAACAGACAATAAGTCGGACTCCTAATATTTCCTCAGCACAAATAATATAATTTTCACACTGTTTTCTTACCTCCAGGCGCTGGCTGCGATCTAGCTGAATGCGGTCATCAAAGTGGCCTCTGTTCCAATGATTGTAAGCAGACCCCAACCGGAGCTCTGTGCCTCTGTCCACCAGGCGAAGAATTAGACACCGACGGTCAAAACTGCAAGGATATCGATGAATGTAACCCCCCTGGACTTTGCTCACAGACCTGCACCAACACTAAAGGCTCCTACGTATGTTCGTGCGTTGACGGCTACTTGCTGACCATTAACAACCACACTTGCAAGGCCAATAATCATTCGAGCGCCTTCCTAATAATTTCTAACAGACACTCAATCTTAGTCGCAGATTTGAATGAACAGGGACTTGAAAGGGTTCCCATTAATGTGGAGAATGTCGTTGCAACTGCGTCCAACATGCATACAGGAACAATATTCTGGTCTGACATGAAGTTGAAGAAAATCTCGCGATTAGATCGTGGTAGTGAACCGCAAGTTATAATTTCAACTGGATTGGACTTGGTTGAAGGTTTAGCATACGACTGGGTTGGTGGCAATATCTACTGGCTGGACAGTAAACTGAACACGATCGAAGTCGCCAAGGAAGATGGTTCAGCTAGAACAGCTTTGTTGAGTGGAAATATTACCCAACCTAGAGGAATGTGCTTGGATCCCGCACCTAACGCAAGATGGCTGTTCTGGACTGACTGGGGCGAAAACCCTAGAATAGAAAGAGTAGGCATGGATGGTACTCAACGATCAGCTATTATCACTACCAAGATCTACTGGCCTAATGGTTTAACTTTAGATCCCGCGACCCAGAGAGTTTATTTCGCGGACTCTAAATTAGATTTCATAGATTTTTGCTACTACAATGGTACTGGCAGACAGCAAGTATTGGCAGGCAGCCACTATCTCCTGCATCCACATTCACTAACATTGTTTGAAGATACATTGTACTGGACTGATCGTCAGCTAAACAGAGTGTTATCAGCTCATAAATTCAAGGGGACCAACCAGACGGTAGTATCTCACTTGATCTCTCAGCCGTTATCAATCCATGTTCACCATCCATCGCTGCAGCATCAGTACACATCTCCATGCAAGAAAGACACGTGCCAACATCTCTGTCTACTGAGTCCGAACAGAACTGTAGGATACACTTGCATATGCAAACCTGGTTACAAGTTGTTGCCTGATGGGAAATGTGTGGAAGGTAATTCATTATATTTAAATAACTGACTGAAAAAATATTACGAAGTTAATTTTTTTTGAAGAAGCCGTTAATGAAATGAGTCCGTGTGTGTCGTGAAAAGTTATTAACAAAAGTCATTGTTTTATTACAGAGGAGTCAGCGTACCTTATGGTGCTGAAGGGAAGTCAGATCATTGATTTATCAATGGATGGCTCTGGCAGGGCAGGACAACTTGCTCCAATTGTTGGCATTCAAGGTAAAACACTGGATTTCTTAATTTACACTTACTGAGAACCCGAGAGCAATTGCATAGAAGGTAGTCATGATAATCTGTTTCTGTTTCTAGGTGGAGTACAACTCGACTACGATCGCCAAGGCCACATGCTGTACTGGCTCCAATCCATATCAGGTGATAGCGAAGATGACGAGAACTGTACAATCTATAACATGCCTTATAATGGCGGCAATAAGGCTGAATTCTTCGGACAAGACACTGGCATTGTCGGTGCACCATCTGCTATTGCGTTTGACTGGCTCGGAAGAAACTTATACATGGCTAATAGAGTGGCTAGTAATATTGAGTTGGTGCGAGTAGATGGAAAAGTTAAGTATCGGTCTATTGTGATGGCGAATGACGGAAGCAAGTTGTCAGTTGCAAAGCCGAAGGGAATATGTCTGGACCCAACCGAAGGGTGAGTATTATTTTTATTGTAATGCGAACTGTATTCAGCTCAGGGTCAAAAAAACTATGTAATGCAATTTTTTTATTACCATACAATTAATATTGTGTTCTTTTTTCACAGCAAAATGTACTGGTCCGACGAAGGTGGTTTCGGCGTACCAGCAAAGATCGGCAAAGCCAACATGGACGGCAGCAATCCTATCATCCTAGTAGATTCTATCGAAAGACCAGAAGCTGTTGCTATAGATGTGGAAAAGAAAATTGTTTACTTTAGTACACAGTTCCCAGCCAGCATCAACAGCGTTAAAACTGATGGAAATAACAGAATGAATATATTGTCAGAAGCAAATGCCATTTCATACCCTAAAGTAATTGCGGTAATGGACTCTAGACTGTACGCATTGGATCCATTACATGAAAAGATTATCAAAGCAGATCTACCAAACGGTGATAATATCAAGACAGTTCTAGACAATGAGAGCGATTTGAAATCCTTCACAATATTCCAAAAGAGGAAGATGATTCACCACCCATGCTTCCAGAACAATGGGGCTTGCGAACACATCTGTATTCCTGGTGACAGCGGTTCACGCACTTGCGCTTGCTCTATTGGTTACAAGAAAGAGAATGAAATCGACTGTGTCCCATACAAAACATTCGCTGTAGTCTCACAACTAGACCTTATTCGTGGCTACAGTATAGATTCAAGTGCCGAAGCAATGGTGCCTGTATCTGGAGTAGGACACCATATCTTACATGTTGATGTACACTTTGCTGAAAACTATATATATTGGGTGGAATTCAACCGTGGACAATGGAATGGTATCTTCCGTATCAGACCAAACGGCACCGAGTTACAACATATTGTCAAAGATGGTATCGGCAGCAATGGCATTAGGGGATTGGCCATTGATTGGGTGGCAGGCAACTTGTACTTCACCAATGTTTTCCCCCACGAGAATTACGTAGAAATGTGTTGGCTGGATGGTTCGAACAGAAAGGTTTTGGTCAAGACAACAATGGACGCCCCAAGAGAGTTAGCAGTAAATCCTCTGAAGAGGTTACTTTATTGGATCGACTATGGTCAATATCCTCGAATCGGGAAGGCTTATCTTGATGGTAGCAATTGGCATACAGTAGTAAGCTCCGGAATATCTAACCCAAGAGACTTGACTATCGATATGATGACTCATGATGTTTACTGGGTAGACTCGAAACTCGACCAGATCCAAAAGATTTCTTACAATGGTGGCAATAGACAATTGATTCGTTCGAATTTGCCGAACCCTATGGGGATCGCTATCCATACTAGTAGCGTGTACTGGGTCGACAGAAACCTGCAGACCATTTACAAAGCATCGAAATTACCAGGCAACATGTCGATGCCCGAGAAAGTGCGCACTAATCTACCTAAACTTAGAGACATTGTTATATTTGATGTAAACAATCAACCTATGGATGAAAATAATCCTTGCAGAAGATTCGGAAACGGTGGATGTGATCAACTGTGCTTCAGTTTCCCGCCAGATGCAGCCAAGGTGCCCGAAGGCTTTAGGTGTGACTGTGCTACTGGTCAAATTTCTAAGACCAACAATAAAAAATGTGAAGTGGTTGATGAATACTTGGTATTTACTACCAGAACTGAGATTCGCGCTATCAACCTGGACCCTAAGTCTACCGGTGTGCCTTTTAAACCAGTTGTCAATCTAACTAATGTAGTAGGTGTAGAATTTGACTATTCTGACAACAAATTGTTCTTTACCCAGATCAGACCCTGGGCCAGAATCGGCTGGATGCCCGCAAATAATCCTGATCGCACCAGTATTCAAAATATTATTAGCAAAGGTATAAATCCCGAGGGAATTTCATACGATTGGACTCAGAAGAAAATATATTGGACTGACAGTTCAAACAATTCAATTTATGCGATGAATCTTGACGGATCCGAGCTTGTAATGATTGCCAGAGTAGAACGTCCAAGAGCTATTGTAGTAGATCCTTGCAATGGTACTTTATACTACACTGATTGGGGACGATTTGGAACTTCTGGCAAGATCTACAGAACAACCATGGCTGGATCATTAAAGAAAGCAATCATTGACAAGGATTTGTCGCAACCCAGTGGTCTAACAATAGACTTTGATGAAAACATGCTGTATTGGACTGACGCTGTCCGTGAGAAAATCGAACGTTCCAATTTAGATGGCTCAAATAGAGAAGTCCTTATCAGTGCCACAATCTATCCATTTGCTATAACCGTTTTCCGTAATTACATCTACTGGACTGATCTTCAATTGCGAGGAGTTTACCGCGCTGAGAAACACACTGGTGCCAATATGGTTGAAATGGTCAAACGTCTAGAAGACTCACCTCGTGATATTCACATATACAGCACAAGTAGACAGAAGTGCTCGGTGAACCCGTGCAAAATCAGCAATGGTGGATGTGCCCATAGCTGTCACCCGGCACCTAATAACACGGTTGAATGTAAATGTGACGACAGCACAAAATTAGTGAATGAGGGACGAATGTGTGTGGCAAAGAACGTTACATGCGATCAAAGTAAGTTCTTCTGTGCTAACGGCAAATGTATTAGCAAGATGTGGTCTTGCGATGGGGATGACGACTGTGGCGATAATTCAGACGAAGATAAGAATTACTGCACTTATCATTCGTGTTCTCCTAATGAGTTCCGATGCAACAATGGCAGATGTATCTTCCAATCCTGGAAGTGTGACCACGAAAATGATTGCAAAGATGGATCGGATGAAGAGGGCTGCGTATACCCACCTTGCGCCAAAGGAGAATTCACTTGTCTTAATTCCCGATGCATACCAATGTCTCAAGTTTGTAATGGAATCAACGATTGCAAGGACAATATAACTTCCGATGAAACTCATGAACTGTGTCCTATGAATACAACTTGTCCAACTAACCACCTGAAGTGTGAGAAGACGAACATTTGTGTAGAACCTTACTGGCTTTGTGATGGTGACAATGATTGTGGTGATAATTCTGACGAGGATCCTCTACATTGCGCGCAGAGAACTTGTCCTCAAAACAGCTTCCGGTGTCCCAATCATCGGTGCATACCAGCCACGTGGTATTGTGATGGAGATGACGATTGTGGTGATGGAGCTGATGAGCCGCCAGAATATTGTCGCTCAGAAGGCAGAACATGCTTTGGAGATCTCTTCACTTGTGATAACGGTAACTGTATTCCTAGAATTTACATCTGCGATGGTGATAATGACTGCCTAGATAACAGTGATGAAGATGATCGTCACCAATGTAACGAACGTAAATGTGACGCCGAAACGGAATACACCTGTGAAGAGAATAAATTCTGGCAGCGGGCTCAATGTATACCAAAGAAATGGATTTGTGATGGTGATCCTGACTGTATTGATGGTGCTGATGAAAATGCTACTATTCACCACTGTGCTACGCCTACACCCTGCTCAGACGATCAATTCCAGTGTAATAACGGCCGCTGTATCAATGAAGGATGGGTGTGTGATCACGATAATGATTGTGGTGATGGCTCTGACGAAGGGAAGCGCTGTAACACACAATACAAGCAATGTAATGATCAAGAATTCAAGTGTCAAAACTTCAAATGTATCAGAAATCACTTCCGATGTGACGGAGAAGACGATTGTGGTGACCATTCCGATGAAGTTGGCTGTGTGAAACAGAACAAGACATGTCCTGCAGGGCAATTCAAGTGTAATAACGACCAATGTATTGATAACAGACTGGTGTGCAATAAAGTTTCGGACTGTACTGATGATTCTGACGAGCCTGCACACTGCAACGTTGATGAATGCCTCAAGCTGGAGAACAATCAATGTGGTCACAAGTGTATTGACACTCTAACAGGTTATTATTGTGACTGCAACCAAGGTTACAAGTTACTCGCTGATGGAAAAGCCTGTGCAGATATAGACGAGTGTATAGAAACGCCAGGAGTATGTTCTCAATACTGTTCAAACACGCCTGGATCTTATTATTGTAAATGCAATGAACAATATTATGAAAGAGAGGCAGATGAGCACACTTGCAAGCGAAAAGACAATATCTCAGCATGGATCATATTTACTAACAAATATTATGTAAGAAATATCTCCACAGATGCAACACTATACAACTTGATGCATCAAGATTTAATGAATGTTGTTGCCATTGATTTTGATTTCAAGGAACAGAGGATGTACTTTGCTGATGTCTCAGCTAAAACAATCTACAGGTCAAACTATACTGATCCTAACCCGACCAAAGAAGTTGTGATAAGACACGATTCTCATGGCCTTGAAGGTATCGCTGTCGATTGGATTGGAAGGAAACTTTACTGGCTCGACAGGCATTCTAAGAACTTAGATGTGTCTGAATTAGATGGAACTAGACGAAAGACCTTAAAGACTGGAGTTACAGACCCCAGAGCTATTGTTGTTCATCCGGGAACTGGATACTTATACTTCTCATCTTGGCATTTACAAGCTTACATTGGTAAAATGGGTATGGATGGATCCAACTTCACTTCAATTTTGAACTGGGAGGATGACATCGCTTGGCCAAATGCCTTGACTATAGATTACTTTACAGATAGGATTTACTGGGCTGATGCTCATTTGGACTACATCGGCTCGGCTGATTTGGAAGGTAGACATAGGCATGTCGTTCTCTCCGGTTCCAAAGTACCTCACGTATTCGCTCTTAGTTTATTTGATGATGAAATATACTGGACTGACTGGAATCTAAAAGCAATCAGCAAAGCCAATAAGCACTCCGGTGAAAACCTAAAAATTTTAAGAAACACTACTCACAGGCCCTATGACATTCATGTTGTGCATCCGTTGAGACAATTATCGTACCCTAATCCTTGCGGCAAAAATAATGGAGGATGTTCTCATCTTTGTTTGATTGCTCCCCCTCATGCATCAAGCTACCTTAACATCGAAGGGTACGGCGAAGAAGGAGCTACTACTTATAAATGTGCTTGTCCAAATCAATATTATCTCGCAAGAGATATGAAGACTTGTATCGCTAACTGCACTGACGGCCAGCACAGATGCAATGGTCGCGATGAGAAGTGCATACCTTGGTTCTGGAAGTGCGATGGAGAGAAAGACTGCATGGATGGATCGGACGAACCTGACACGTGTCCTGTACGTCACTGTAGAGCTGGTTCGTTCCAATGTAAAAACACTAACTGCACTCCAGCTGCAACAATCTGCGACGGTACAGATGACTGTGGTGACGGATCTGACGAAGCTCAATGTGCCCATGAATGCCCATTGCTCGAATTCAAATGTAAATCCAGCGGTAGATGCATTCTAGACAGCTGGAAGTGCGATGGAGATACGGACTGCAAAGACAACAGCGATGAAGATCCAGCTATGTGTCACAACAGACCTTGTAATCCAGACACCGAGTTTGCATGCAAGAATGGCCGTTGTATTCCTAAGTTATGGATGTGTGATTTCGACAATGATTGTGGTGATGATTCAGATGAACCAGCATACATGTGTCGTCAAAAGAATTGTACAACGGGATGGAGAAGGTGTCCCGGTCAGGCTAATTACAGATGTATACCTAAATGGTTATTCTGCGATGGTAAAGACGACTGTAGGGATGGATCTGATGAAATGCCAGAAAACTGCCCCTCTTGTAACGCTGAGACTGATTTCACCTGCGAAAACAAACGTTGCATTCCCAAACAATGGCTTTGTGATTTCACCGATGATTGCGGCGATGGTAGCGATGAAGCAGAGGCTGTCTGCCAGCATAAGTATAGAGAATGTTCGGAGTCTGAATTCAAGTGTGGTAACGGAAAATGTATCTCATCAAGATGGCGGTGCGATCACGAAGACGATTGTGGTGATAACACAGATGAGGCTGATTGCGGTGGATTTAAGTGCAAGAATGGAACATTCCAGTGTAAATCGGGTCACTGTATAGCAGCTTACTTCCGGTGCGACGGAGACAGAGATTGCAGGGACTTATCTGACGAAATCGGATGTCCTCCAAGATTCCCTAACGGCAGATATTGTCCTGAGAGCAGGTAAGGAAAACATTATTATTTTCTCCAAAACAGTTTTTTTTAAATGAATTCGATATTTAGTAAATTTATTAAGATTTCAGATGGTTGACATTGAATGGAGATTATTGCTATCATTTAATTATTAATCACCTAATTAATACCTATCTTCAGTATTTATTGACGGGCCTGTTGGTCTAGTGGTTAGTGACCCTCGCTAAGCCAGAGGTCGTGGGTTCGATTCCCACCCAGGACAAATAGTTGTTTGATGAGCACGATGATTTGTTCTGTGTAATTTATCAATAATATGGATGTATTTAGAAATATATAAGTATGGTTATCAGCAGTATGTTTACCATAGTACAGGCTCTGCCTAGTTTGGTATCGCGGTACGGTAACCATGATGATGATAGTTAAACAAAAATATTAAATGGATCAAATCTAAGGGGCTAAATACGTTTTACTTTAACTTACACTTTGCTCGCCAGGTTCCAGTGCGCGAACAACCTATGCGTGTCTCAATCTGATCTTTGTGATGCGACGGATGACTGCGGAGATGGGTCGGACGAGGCTGCATCCATCTGTACTAACTTTAATTGCGACACTCTCAGGCGATTCCAATGTGATAACCATAAGTGTGTGCCGAGGTAAGTAATAGATCACAGTAGTGAATCATTCAATTGTACCATGAACCTTGCAAGAACAGGGATCCCATGATTAACCCCCTTATAACTCTTCTTTTATTTTAGATACTGGGTATGTGACGGAGTTGACAACTGCGGTGATGGATCAGATGAGAATAACATGACGTTGTGCGCTGCTCGAATCAAACCTTGCGATCCTTACACGCAGTTCCAATGTGCCAATAGACATTGTGTAGAACGGACTCAACTATGCGACTTTGCTGATGATTGTGGAGATGCCTCTGATGAACTGGGATGTCATCACACACATACTTGCAGCCACATGGATAAAGGTAAGCGATAATGAATGAATCTATGAGTTCATAATAAAATTATTTGATTTTTTTATCATCATCAACAACAAACAGCCTTTAATAGTCCACTGCTGGAAATGGGCCTCTCCGTAGACAGGAGATTTGGACTACTATACCACGCCAGGTGGGTTGCTATAGGGTTTGTGTCAAGATTTTGTTCTCTTTGCAGTGCTGTTGTCCTGCGCAGTTTTCTCCGTTTGTCGGCTCTTACGAGACCCGACACTACCGCAAGAGTCAGAGTGGTTACACTTTGTATTCTTAATCCGCCACCACACTGACGACTTTTGGTTTCCTGAAAATATCTAAATAAAGATGTCTTTAAACTGTTCAGGTGGTTGCGAACACTTCTGCACCAACTTAACCTTGGCTGGTAGTCTCTCATCTGGCTCCGGAGGATACATCTGCACGTGCTTCCAAGGCTGGATCATTTCGTCCGCAGACAAGAAAAAGTGCGTAGACGTAGACGAGTGTGCTGCGGGCACCCACCACTGCTCACAGGTCTGTCGCAACCTTAACGGTAGCTACAGCTGTGACTGCAGGGAAGGATTCAAGTAAGTTACAGTGATCTGACGCGCTGATGAGTCGTTCGGTTAAGCTGAATTATGAATTACAAATGTCAATTGTGTTACAGACTCGCAGATAATCTATCAGGTGTATGTAAAGCTGTTGAAGATGACGTAGTGCTACTTTTCGCGAACGGGCCTGAGATTCACGCTTTCGCCCAGGAGAAGAACGAAGAATTCGAGGTTATTACGGCAGAAAAGAGAATAGAAGCAATCGATTACGATCCCAAGCAGGAGATGATCTTCTGGGCAGACAGTTACGACAAGACCATAAAACGGTCGTACATGATTAACGCTCTCAACGGACAAGTCAAAATGGGATTCGCTCAGGATCTAAATATGAAAGGCAATTCTAAACCCACAGCTCTCGCCGTCGATTACGTCGGCGATAACTTATACTGGACTGAGACTGACAGAACAGGCTCTAAACCGAGAGGAAGAGTCATGGTAGCCAGAACAGACGGAAGGTATCGTAGAGCCATCGTATCGGCCGGTATCGAAAGTCCTACCTCCCTTGTCCTCGACCCACAAATGGGAAGAATGTTCTGGGCGGACGCCGGCTCCGCTCCTAAGATCGAAATAGCCTGGATGGATGGATCAAAACGACGCCCTATCGTCACCGAAAATATTAGACATCCAACTGGATTGGCCATAGATCACGCTATGGGCCACTCCATATACTGGGCTGATACGAAATTGAACACAATAGAAATGATGAGGCACGACGGGTCCAACAGAAAAGTGATTCTGAAGGGTGATCTGTTAAAACATCCACTGTCTCTGGACGTTTTCGAGTCTTCGTTATACTGGGTGACCAGGGACACCGGTGAGCTCGTAAGACAGGACAAATTCGGAAGAGGAGTGCCATTCGTCATATCGAAGGATCTAGTCAACCCGTCGGCCGTGAAAGGTGAGTTTTCATTTATTATTTAGTGAGACGAGTCAGTCAATCCAAGACCGATGATTAGAATGACACAAAATTGTTTCACTCCGTAGTATACCACCCGCTGCGTTACAACGTGTCTATGCGCTCGGCGTGCTCGCGCGCGCCGTGCACGCACCTGTGCCTGGGAGTACCGGCCGGGCGCCGCTGCTTGTGCCCCGACCAGCAGGCGCCGCCTAAGCGCATCACGCAGGAACTCACCTGCGACGCAGGTATGACATTACGTTTGACATTTATTTGTAGCTTATTACAATTAAACTTGAATTTCTATTAAAGTCCCAGATAGAAAACGTGGTAGTATTTAAATTTGTAGTACAAATTGAACCGTTCCCCCTCAGCGGCGGAGGCTCCGCGGCCACTGCCGCGTGTGTGCCCGTGCGAGAACGGCGGCACGTGCGTGGAGGACGAGGCGGGCGGCGTGCGCTGCTCGTGCCGCGCGCCGCTGTCGCCGCCGCTGTGCGCGACGGCCGCGGCCGCCACGCACGCGCGCTCGGCCACGGCCGCCGCCGTGCTCGTGCCCGTGCTGCTGCTGCTCGTGCTGGCGCTTGCCGGCGCCGCCGCCTGGTTCGTCATCAGGAAGCGACCGTTGTGAGTAGCTATGCTAGCCGATGTAGTTGTGACTTTCGATTGTTAATTACTGCTATAACTTAAGGGAGAGTCAAGCTAATAATTTAATATTAAATGTGCAGTAATTTTGGTGAAACCATTAACATCAGATTAAATCGTAAATTCCTACCTTATTATTTAATACTTAATATGTCCTTTTTTCTTAGAGATAGTTGAAATTTCAATGTGATATAAATCTATTCAAACCTCTTGGATATTTTTGGGCTACAAGTTCACCCTAATATATGTAAATACATACCTAATATAAGAACTGTGACGTTTTTTTATGTTATATTTACTATATATGTGTATAACTGATGTGGTGTCTATCTTTACATAGTGTAAAATAAAGTCGCTTTTTTAGCTGTACGCTTAGATCTTTCAAACTAAGCAACGGATTTTAATGCGGTTTTCACCAATAGAGAGAGTGGTTCAAGAGGAAGTTTTCAAATGCTGGATAATCCTCACGAGATAGACTAAAATAATCTACTACGGAATATCTTAAAAAGGTCTACAAAACACTCTCATAAGGATATCCATCAGTAATCATTTTAATCTTTTAAATATAAAAAAGTGGGTTATTTACAAAGCCATTTTAACAATACATTATTATTCCTTATGCCATTAAATACGTTAGATACGTTGCGCATTTAATGTAGATTAAAATTGCTCTTCACAGCATATTATTAAAATGAATATTTTAGAAAATATTAGAGGAATACAATGCGGGGCAAAGTGGCCAGACGCCGCGTCGGGTCGTACGTCTATCCCGGGTGGCAGCGGCCGGCAGCGGCCGGCATGATCGTAGCAGACCAATAAATATTGCATCATAATATAAAGATGTTCCGTAGTCCTATTGTAATAATAGTATAATTAATTACTCCACACTGACACCACATTAGTAATATTAGTAGTATCTACATTGCACCCGTGCGAAGCCGGATCGGATCGCTAGTAATAGATAAATAAGTAATTGACAAGAGAACATAAGTTATACATACGATTTTTATATAAATTCTCCAGTAACAGTTGGTATTGCTCGTTTTCTAGCGGCAAAGGCGGTGGCCTCAGCAGCCTCGCATCATCACAGAGCGTGTCGTTCAGACAAGGCTCGAACGTGGAGTTCGGCGGAGTGGCCGGCCCGGGGGCTGAGCCCGCCTACACGCTGGAGGAAACTCCTCGCAAAGGACGGGACTTTAGCAACCCCATGTATGATGCCGTTACTAGAGCTCAGGCAGCAGGGGAACCTGAGCCGCCCCTACGTAAGTCTATTTATGATTTCACATCATCACATTAACAACAATTAATAGTTCACTGCTGAATATAGGTCTCTCCTTAGACAGGAGGTTTTGGCTTATTGTACCACGCTGGCCAGATGGGCTGGTATAGGGTTTGTGTCAAGTAGTGTTTTGTAAAAATGCATTAAAGTTATGTGATGTATAGTAAAATAAAGGCATCACTGCATAATTTTAATCAGAACGCTTGTTTTTATGAAATTTATTTTAGATTTTTGTCTAGTGGCTCTGAGTCTGTGCGGCTCGAAGGACCATATTGATGTTGTTTAATACGCAAGTGATACATTGTCATTCATACATACTTAAAAGAGAAGGAAATAGCGGGCTATGTCAAGTGCTCGCTAATCTCATCTACTACTGTATTACGATTAAAATGATTGTAAAATTTATAATTTTGTCTACCTGCATGCGAACAAAATCATTAAAAAAAAAAAAAAATATCCAATGCATTTCCCGGAAGAGCATATCGATGCTCTCGTTAGATGCCAGTTCTAGAAGTGTTCAGTAATGAATAATGCGGTTCGTTCCAGCGGGTATTTACGAAGTACCGGACGAGCTGAAGGACAAAGTGGTGTCGGCGGTGATCTCGGTGTCGATGTCGGAGGCGCGCGGCGCGGCCCCGGGCGCCCCCCGCGCGCTGGAGCCGGCGGCCGACACCGGCACCGACACGGCGCAGCTCGTGCGCGAGGACCGCCACTGACGCGGCCCCCGGGGCGCGCGCGTCGCCCCCGCACCCCTCGCCCCCCTCGCCCCGCGCGCATCACACGCCCGCGATGGCTTCTTCTTTTAAATGATATATACTATTTTGTATTTTCCCGATTCTATCCGTCCTTCTAGTTTTAGCTTCTAACTTATTTTCACGTTTCGCTGTGATCGTGGTACTTTCTTACTTTAACTGTCGTTATTTTTCCGTTCGTCTTTTATACAAGATTATCGTAGTGATCCCAGCTAGATCTGGACGTACTTATATGTCGATATTTTTCTTTTAAGTTTAATCTGTTACTTTTAAATTATATATATATATATATTTATTGTACTGAAATCTAAATAAACCATATCATAGCGTGATACGTATGTTGTTGTATGGAGAGATTTCTAAAGTGTAGCGTAGATCTTGTACATTCCGCTCGTCCGAGACGAGAGACTAAACCTTTCGTCGGTATCTATTGGGATATATACATATATTTAAGTAATGTTTTGTTGCGCTAAGTTTTAGGCCCGAACTCGACTACATTCCTAAATAACTGTATAAATAATGTTGACTTAGTGATAAATGAATAATTAGTACATAATTAAGTAACTAGGAATTGTTGTCCGTCACGGTCGCCGAGCGCCACATCTATAGAGTTTTAAATTGATTTGACAATAAGCAATAAACTATATTAGAGAGTAATTTATTTATTTTGGTTTAAGACTATGTAAAATAACATGTTGTGTTTTATAATTGTCTATTATTCATTAAAATTTATTAGAACTTTGTGGGACTCTGACGATTTGCCATAAATGTGTGAGATAATGTTTCTGTTGTTTTATTATTGAAATATATTTTTTTTCTCAATACTTTATGTTTAAAATACAAAAGTTTAACAAAATGTAAATATGTGCGTTCAATATTGTGATGTACATTGGATAGGCCAAATTGTAATGCTCTGTTATGTATCTTGGTAATAATATAAATATGTATCATACTATATGGAGATGTCTCTGTGAATATAAATGTCACTGATGACTAAACTCGAATTGATAAAGTGTAAAAAGATTAAATCTGTCAATATTATAAATATATTACAATGTTACGGATAAGGAGAGGAAATATTTTTATATCGGGACTATTTAGTTATTAGACTGTCGTCTGAGGGTAGTTGATGAAAATATTGTGTAAAAATAAATTAATAATGAAATATTCGATGTTTTATTGTACAGTATTCAGTTCTAATCTTTGCCTAACTCACCGGTCTAGATAAGGTCAGAAAATATCCGACAAGTTTACATGTTAACGGTAAATTATTGTTTTTTACGTGCGTAATGGTTGCTTACTTTTCAATTTATAACTTTTCTCTAATCTACAAAGTTAGCTTTATACAATCTCACTGGTCGTCTATTACAACAACAAATATACTAATATAGACTTTGTAAGATGCTAAATTTATTTTACATTCAATTGTAGACTGATTTAGTTAGGTACATTCTTATTTTAAAGCGTGGACGTATATAAAAAAGTTTTAAAGTATATCTATTAGGTACTTTGCTGCAACTTGTTGTCGCATTTCACAATATTCAACAAAAGAAAATATTGACTGACTAAAATAATGCCTCTTTTTTGTCTCTAATAATATTAATATGAATAACATAACTTCATTATTATAACCTACGCAACCACTATTATACGCAATTTTTTAGATTATTGCCAGCCCGCCATTGAAATTGACTTTCGCAAGTCCAAATTGTTATACCCGAAAGTTATAAAAACACAGAGCGGTCTGAAATAAGAAAATATAAAACCAGATGGATTTTAATAACTTACGTTTATCCGCTCATCTTATATCCATTAGATATTTATTTTAACGACTCTAGAAAAAGATAATATTTAATTAAAGATTAAAAATACAGTTTCTAAAAATAACCAAATAAAATCTTACGAATTTGTTATATTGCGGGCTTTTTTTTTTAATAAGTATACAGTATGAAAGGACGGCCTTAGATCTCTGTTACGAAAAGCTTTACGAGTTAAATATTCGTGAACTTAGAGATTACGGGCCCGGGACAGGTTTTTCGAATATCATGTGAATAGCATTTAATACCATATTTCTACTATTTCATACTTTCATAGTAAAATTCTACACACATAAAATTTCAAAATATTCTACTAAGAAAGTGGTCCCGCTATTCTGTAATTAAAATGGCGGGATCACTATTCAACGCCTTGTCAATAACGACAAACTGTGTTCTCTACGCTAAGTCACAAATTCCTTGTTTTATACCTACAAAATAATAGTGACGGACTAAAGTATATCGATAAATTATCGATACATTTTACTAGTGCATGGTTAACGAATAAAAAATGCTAATACCATTAAAGTTTTATTAAATTTCAGCCATATTTTATCTCACTTCTCAGCTAAGTAATCATTACACCGAAGTAACAGCTTCAGAGAAGAGCAGATTTTTTAATAAAAAAATATCTTTTTTTTTAATTACAGCGTAATCTCTTTTGTCACCATATCCACTTTACTCATTATTAATTATTATACATATATGTCTCTACAAATATTGATTTTGTATCAATAAACAATTAACTCATTATAGATAGTTCAACTCAGTTGTGCGCGCGGCCCTATGTGTGCGTGGGCTTGTAAATATACAACTTTCATTCGTGTGGCATTGACGCGGCAGTCGGAGGACGACTGCCACACGAATGAAAGTTGTATATTTGCAAGGACCGATACGACCTTCAAACGTTCAAGAAAAGAGCGTACTCCTTCCTAAAAGGCCGGCAAAGCGTTTATGACTTTTGAGTGGCAGACGTTCAAGTGCAGCGATGGTCACTTTCCATGGTCAGGTGACCCATCTGTTCGTTTGCCCCCTCCAACATAAAAAAAGAACTAGGTAAATAATAAATTCTACCTATACCGATCTGTAGTAATAAGGTATAAAATAAAACAATAATTTGACATAAACCATTTATTTTAATAATGAAGCGTTACACACACACTCGATGGATGCATTTATATTTGAAGATTTAGACCGTCTTGAAATATTGGGAAAGTACAAACCAATTTGAGTTTTTACTTGTGCAATATCTATTACTGGGTGAAGGCCTTGCTCATTACTCCTTATTTTACCATAACTGATAGACGTATTTATGGCGTATCATATATATTATTATGTATATAATGATGTGAAAAAAAAGGCTTCGCCGGTGTCTTGTGAAGTGTTTTCAGTGTATGAACATGGTATGAAGTAGAGCTATGGAACAGAATGAAATAGTCAAAGATGTTTCTGAAAAGTATGCATATTAAGAACATCAAACGTTCTACACATAAACTGCATGCTAAAGGATAGTGTTGAGATAGAATTACTATATGTATAACAATGTTAGTTTGTTTGCTCGGTTTATTCTCATAAGGATCGACAAAGCAGATACTTTATTATACTGTAGTTTTGATAATTATACTATTGATATAGCAACCTCTGATCTATGTTTAATAAAATACTTTTAATTCATTATGAAGCAAATTTATGAAACAGATACATGTTAAATACAAACCACCAAACAATCAAGTACAAATTTAATATGAATACAAGTTGTATGTGAAATGATACAACGATATCAAATACTGAGTGGGTGTTATTTAAAACAAAATTAGTTCAAATACAATATTTCTAATCATTTAAGTAAGTGTTATCGAATAAAACCAGAAAACCCCCAATACTATTACACAAATTGTTTCTCCATACTTCAATACTTCCGTGCACCTAGTAACATTAAACGAAAACACCACTACTAATGGTGCGTGACGGCCACCGTCGGCAGAACTTTCCACCCCTTGAAACAGAACTCGATTCCACGGCATTTCCGAAATACACAGGATATACCGTTTATCTTTATTAAATCACTTAGGTATTATATCATATTTTCAGTTATATAATGTTCTGTAATACATAATTACGGGTCCAAATCATCAAATTATAGAATTATTAAGACAGATTATAAAGGTGTAAAAAATGCATCCATCGTTACAAACACAATACACTAAGGTTAAACTAGAATCGCTCACACAAACACTCATGAAGTATTATGAGTACGCGATATATAATATTATATGTAACTATATACTCGTCCCCTGTAAAACTATAATAAAATTGTTTCTTCGAATTACCTTTTGACATACAATGGTACAAAGTCAGCTTCGTTATTTCACAAATACAATTGTTATTATATGTTTATAATTGTTTATTTAATCGACGTTTGACTCTAGAATATATTTCATATCACTGTTAAATCTAAACATTACACACATTACATCAAATTGTTTATTTTTAATCATTTTAAAGTTCGAAATGATAACTATTTTCGTACTTTTTTGAAACAGTAAGAATATATTGATTATATCTGGTTTTATAAAACATTTTAAAAGGTTTTTTGGGAGTTTCAAACTGTAGAAAAAAGTTAACCAAGTTTTACGAGCTGGTCGAAGAACTGGCAAAAGAAAATATGCTTCTAATTACTATTTGCAGTTTCTGTAATGCCTTATTGTGTGTCGAAATAAATTACTATTATTTTTTTTGCCATTTGCTAATGTCGATATGAAAGTTATGGTATGAAAGTATTCGCGGACACGAATAACCATTTAAATTCGGCAGGGTTTTCTTTTTATTGATTTAGTAAATAGTTTGTAACTAAACATTCAATTATTACTAGATTTGTCATTGCAATACTAGATATTATCTGGATATTTATTTAAAAGTCATTTGGAATTGGCCATCGAGACTCCAATATTATCCAAATATCCATACATTCATAATAATTATGAATTCGAAGTTAGAGCATCATAATTTAAACATAAAGCCGAGATGTTTTGTAAAGTTTTTACAGGAAATGAGTACTACAAGTTTTAAGTCTACATTATGATATTTATGAATTAGAATGTTATAGGATTTGAGTTAAAACGTATGTTTAGTATGAGAGCTAATGAATATGGTGCAGAATCGATATAAATGTATGCAATTGTCTATTGGCTGATTATATTTGTGATATACAACATTATTCGTGCCATAAACCTGCACATAGTTCCCGTAACTTGATATAACGATATCTGATAACTGTTTTTAAACTAAAAGGAGGTTTTAATACAAGGCATGTTGACAATAATTAAAAATGTTGCAAATAAAATACCCGTGATATTTTAAGTTTCGATATTTTAATATTAATTTAAGTGTGATATAATGTTTAATGGCCATTATTGTCACGTGAAAGCGAACACCAACCGGGCCATATATTTCATTCGAAGAACAACCTGACAGCTGTCGCCCGGTATCACGATTTCAACTATGTTTTTACTCCAACTCTATGGAGAACTGTCAATTAATCAGAGACGTTAAGATTTATTTATTCATTTTGGAGTTTAATTAGCCCTAGTCAAAATATTTCTGAAAATAAGTCAACAGCCCTATTCGTTGGAACATTTTGTTTAGCACACTCAGCGATCATTAAGGGTATGCCTAAGGGTTTTGCCTGGGTAAAAAGAGGAAAAGGTTAGTTCCAAGATTAATTATTGAAGTTTTTTGAATAACATATAATGTTAAACGAGTGAAACAAAAAAAATAAAAAATCTGGGCACTGATAATATGATCACAAAATCTGTGTGACAAATGTTCCATTTATTAGTACATATAATACAGATGACAATTAATACAAATATTTTTGGAAAAAAAATGCAAAATTTTATCATAAAAAAGATATCTGTGAGGGTTATTGATAGGGGACCTAGAATAGGACCTTGGAGTACTCCGGATTCAAAAATGACATTTGCGTATGACATTTATATCAATAACTAGTATTACTTTACACCAAATAGGTATTGATTTCTATGACATATATTCTCTAGGTGTTTTATTGTATTATCTATACTAATATACAAAGTTAATCAGAATATATTTTCTCGTCTGCGTAGAAGAAAAAGATGTGATGAATTTTCAAATCATTGAACTGCTATACAAATGTTTAACCTTTATTTCACCCCCTTCAAGTTTATTTTTAGAGACAAAAAGTACTCTATCAATTTCACTTTGATCAAGATACGGATCATAGACAGACAGAATTATATTGCATTTATAATATTAGTTAACATTGTCAGATGCTTATGAGAGTTCTATGCAAACAGATATATTGTTTTTGTCTTAAAACTTTTTTATGTATTTGTTATCAATAAAACAATCGTGCGAGGTTTTGGCCTTGAAAAATGTTGTATATATGATACTAATTCTAATTAATTTTAAAGAACAATATATTATAGTATGTTAGGTACGCGTGGGCTCATAAAGACCCAAGAAAATGGACATATATCTATGGAGTACGATCCAAAGAAAAATGAATAAATCAATGTTTCTATTCAGCACGATTCGTGTCGTTACCGATAGTTTTTTTTTTTTGTTTTTCTTATTAATATTTTATATAAAAAAGTTATCTTAAATGAGCTAAAAATAAATTTTGTACGCCAATGATTTTACTAGAATGGATAATTTTGTCGCCAAATTCAAAAGGAAAAGAAATCAAATTCAAATATTACGGATATAAACTTCTATGTTTCTGTAAATATAATATATATACTGTTTTTATGTGATCACTATAGCCGATAAAATATAATTATGGCGACATCGAGTGAACGAGTTTTACGAACGGTACACATAGGATCGCCGGCGCAGTACACGTGGCGACGTACAGGCCCGAGTGTATAGAACTCGATATTCTGCCTGGCGACACCGTACGATCGTCGTCGGACGCCCGGGGGCGTCGCGTCGTCTTCGCGTGAGCCTTCTACAGAAACAATAATCTAACTCTAAATCTCGGTCCGGCGCGGGTGAGGCGGACAGACGGAGCGGTCCGACGCCCGGACCGGTACGAATCGTCGAGGGAGCGTGACACCTATCGACCGTGGCTTCGACGCGCTCGCATCGATCGGACCGCGAACGAGAGCGATCCGTCACCGAGCCGAGGTAACGCGCGTTACCTACGGAGGAAAACGAAAGAGATAAACTTAGTACGAACGGCGAAGACCGGAGCCGCTCTGGGTCGGCGGGCGAGTGGCGGGCGAGTGGCGGTCGAGCGGCGGTGGCGGTCGCGTCCGGGGCCGCTGCTGCGGGTCGAGGCGCGTCGCGGGGCGCGCGGGCCGGGCGGCGCAGGCGCGCGCGACGCGGGGGGCGGGGCGCCGCCGCCTCCTCACACCCACGCCATCCAACCCTCGTACATGAGGCACAGCTTCTCTGGCATTCGAGCTTCCGATATGATGTACTCCACCTGCAACGGGGGGACGTTACAGACCCGCGTGTCCTGGATGCGTTCGCGGACTAGGTGTGTGTACGGTACCTGATCGTGCGGCGGGTGTCTCTTGAGCGCGGTGGGTGTCGCGGTCTCGTCGCGCCCCTCCAGCTTCAGACGAACTCGCTTCCACACGCCCGCACCGACCGCGTTGCGTTCACCTCCTAAAATGTAAAATCGATTTGTGACGGATAAGCTTATCGTCGCATGAGGCATTATAACTCTTCGGTGTAAATTTGAGGAGCATCACTAGTTAAAAGCTATTCACCGTCAGTCTGAAGTGCGGAGAGAGCGCGGCAAGACGGCTGACGGGCCGCGCATCAGACCGATGGTCAAAAACTAGTTTAATCCGTGCGCGGGACCCTTTTGTTGCTTTATTTCGGTGTGCACTCACACAAACACAAAGCTGATCGCCTTGTAATAAATACTAGTTTTTGCCTGCAGATTCACTCGCTTAATATTACTCACTGATAATTTGGCTTTCCATTGTTGAAAGAATCTTTAAAATAGGTATATTGGTTTAAGCGTGAGAACGTAATAAGAAAACAGACAAATTCGCTTTCACATATATAATATAAATATTTATATACACATGGAGGGCGAAACCTCCTTTCGAAGGAGAGGCCTATGTCCAGCAGTGGACTATTATAGGCTGTTGATGATGTGATGTGATATACATTTATTAGTATATACACTAAATGCGAAACGAATCTAACGTATTTAATTGGATAAGGAATAATACTGTATTGTTAAATGCAAATAACCCATTATTTTTTTGTTATTTGTAAAAAATTTAAATGATTACTGTGATTTGCGTGATTTCTTTTTGAGATAAACAATTCCGTAGTACATAATTTAGATCCATTTCGTAAGGTTTAGCTAGCGAATGTGAGCTCACAAAAACATGTCTTTGATTATACATATAAACCTTCCTTTTAAATCACTCTTTCTGTTGGTGGAAACCATATTAAAATCTGTTGAGTACTTTGAAAGATTTAAGCTTACAGGAACATAAAGCCATTTCATTTAATACTATGTATAGAGAATAATCGTTACTAAAATAAGACAGTAAATATTAATATCCCTGCGTTGGTTTTCTATTAGGGCTGATTTTAGAGAATGTTTTAAATTTTTTTTTTATATTTTATGAAGTGAAATGTTTATTATTTAATATTTAAAAAAAGCTAGTAGACTACAGGGCATGAATTTTCATTCAATTATTGACATTTAAGTTACGGTATTATGGTACGGTTTATCGTAAAGTTTGATGTGTAGATATTGACTACTATAAATGATTGTTATTAATATAAAAATGATTACCGTGGCGAATGTTGGCCGAGGCCCTGGGTCCCCCTGTGATGGCGCCCTGCCGCGTGAGCCTGCGGCCGTTCACCTCGTTCGTCCAGTTACTGTGCAGCCTGCAACAGAGTAAGAGTACACTTCAGTCGGAGCGTACTGACTGGAGGAAGCTTCTGGCTTCTCTCTAAATAGGGTCTAGTTAGGTGCGGCGTCGACCTGAGGGGACCTGACATCACATGATCCGGGTCCTCCCCAGAGTAGGGCGCCTATGACCGACCATAGGCGCCTGCACCTTCTAGAAGTCGGAGACCCGAAGGGATTTACCAACTCGTCAGTAAGAAATAAAATAAAAAATGGTGAGTGCTCACTGCAGCAGGTGGTCGTGGTGGTGTGCGAGCTGGTCGGCGAGGGCGGTGGCGGCCCGGCGCGCGGCGGCCACGCCCGGCTCGTCGGCGCGCACGTGCACGCACGCCTTTATCAGCTCCGACACGCCGCTCTCGCTCGACAACCACTCCGACGCCGGGTTGGTTCCCTGTTCGATCCAACAATATTTTAAAAATCTTTTTCGTTCCATTTGCTTCTTTATTTAATTTAACTATAATTAAAATCAGAACATTTTTAGGGTTTCGCATTCTAAAGTGTACAGCATTAATGTATGTTGCAGTCGAACTGTTCAAACATAAAACATCAATTAAAAATACTTTATTGCTGGTTTTTAATAAAATATACTTTGAAATAAAATTAAAACCTCAATTTTTTTTATTGGTGAACTTTGTTATTGACATGAACGAAAACACTAACGAAAAATATATTATGTTTTTAATGAAGTCGGGACGGCCTCGATGACACTTCATTATGTAAGTCTTTGGAAGTCCTATAAAGATCTATAAATAGGTTAACGAAAAATTAAAATTTAACAAAAAAACAGTGGCATTTCGGAAAGTGGAAGTGAAAACTTAATTTTTTTTAATTATAACAGCAAAAAAAAAATTTTTTCGATTCAAAATGTTCCAACATAAATATATATCTATGTTGTACGTATATACACAATATATGTTTATATTATAAATAGTTATATTATCAATGTATTTCAACCCAAACACAACTTTCGTGTAGAAGGGGGCAATATATGTAAATACTCACATACAGAGGTGTCGGTAACAGTAACAGTGTCGCAAATTTAATGAGTTTATTCTCATCCCAAAAAATACATTTTTTTGTATGATATTCGAAAATGCCCAACGCGTTTAAAGAAGTTTTGACTTCAAAAATGGTTGTCGCAATATACAACACCAATGTAGGAATCGAGTGAATTACGAATAGTTACAATATTATATCGATTTAATAAACCGTATAAATGTTTTTTAAATGCGTTCACTTTTTATTCTTTTAGTTATCATTCGGCATAAAACTGACAAAGAATTTATATGAGTGAAATATATTATTTCCTAGTGTGGTAGAAGATCAGGTGGGGTGTCACCTCGGCCTGCAGCGTGTGCAGCGGCGCCCTGACGTCGAGCAGCAGGCCCGCGCGCGCCAGGTCGGGCGGGGCCAGGCGCGCCGCCGCCCCCCGCACCGCCTCCCCCGCCCCCCGCACCCGCGCCCCCAGCCGCAGCGCCTCCGCGCTCAGCGACGAGATCATCTCGCGCAGCAGCATCGACACGTTCTCCACCTGCGCAACCTCGTCTCTGTAGCTAGCCAAACTGTGACCGTATCTCGATATTCATTTCCGTCTTTTACTCGACTCGAATAATATAATAGATCACACTAGGAGACTAGCTCTTAAAATACAGGAATACCTAGTTTAAGAGATAATGTTTATTATTTTTGGTACAGATTATAGCAACTAAGGACTAAGAACAATGCACCACTGTTAATTACCATCTAATCTGTTGTTCTTTTATGTACAAACTATATCTGTATTTCTGGTAAATAAAAATTATTATTATTAAATGTGAGCAGATTAGAAATCATATTTTATTAAATTATCTCAGCTCATTACGACTGAAATCGAATCTCCAAGCATTCCCCAGAATATTATCTTAGATCTCTCTTTCGTTTTATTATAACAGTGAAATTCATCCCGTGAGTATCGTAGAGCCAACAAAAGTAACGACTACAGAAAATTAACACACCTTATAGAAACCCGTCTAACCGGTGTTATATAATATAATAAGCCAAAACCTCCATTCTAAGAAAATACCTATGGCCAGCAGTAGACCATTATAATCACATATTTACTTTCGACCGATTAAAAAAAAGATAACTAAGTAATAACGTTACATTTTTCAATAAAATTAATACAGCGCCAGTAAACGCACGCAGTAAACACATGTTAGTTATAATTATAAATTCTATCTAAACTGGCAAATTATGAGATTTATTAAAACTTTCGTCTTATATAAAAAGTCTTACAACCTTTTGATAAAAATATTATCACAAAATAATCTCAACAAAAATAAAAGCGAAGAACCACTACAAATTGTTCCTCCTACCTACATTTTGACCTACTCCTTGACATTAGAATTTCACTAATAATATTAATATTTTAAATTTTTCTTTAATTAGCGTAAATTACTAACTGTCCTGTACAATGCTTCAATATAGCACATTATGGTTGAAAAACAAAACTAAGCAATCTTTTAAATCGATTGCGTATCGTGATATAATTTGAACTCATTTGGTGCTTTTTGAGTTTCTGAACCGTACATAAACCAATTTAACATTTTATATTTAGATTAAATGCTAACAAAATAATATGCCTTAGATAAATCAATTTAAAATATAAATTCGTATATGTTTCAATAATATCAAAAGGGGTAATTTGTATAAAAGAAAGGGAAATCAAACTTACCCATTGGGTATCAATGTTTCCTTCAGGGTGTAGCATTTCCATTAAAGATTCTTCAATCGGTGACACTTTCAGTGAATATTTTTGAGCTAAGGTGCACGCCTGTGAAACAAAGGTTAAACAATTTCTTTTAACTGTTAATTTGATATTCGTTTTATTTGTATAGATTTAGTTTCACACAGGGGGTTTCGGGGGCGATATATTCTAGCCCTATCTAGTTTTTTTTCGTAAATTTTCTAAAAGAAAAGGAGAATACCGAGCAAAACTCGGCCATTCAGGTACTAATAGTTATAATTGTAAAAGTATCATTTCATGTAATTGTCATTTAAAAAATCACTAACGTTATAATTACATTAATTTTTTAATATTATATGATTTTGTCTTTTAGACTTTTTAGGTCTATTTTTTTAATATTTTAGCTGTTATACCCAAAATACTTTTTGTATTCGAGTCGTTTTAAACGTCCCGCTGTTTATATCGTGACCTTAGGAAACGTGTACGCACTTGACGGTTCGGTGAAAAAAAATCGGATGCCGTTTTACGAATAAAAATTCGTATATAAAGAGTTTCTCTTATGGAGGAGGTGGTAAAGTAGCGTACCTTCTCCCAGTGGTGCAGGTGCGTGAGCAGAGCGTGGTGGTGCTTGTGCTGGTGCTTGTGCAGGCGCAGGGCCGCGGCGGCGCGCGCGTGGCTGGCCAGCGCCGCGCCCGCCGCGCTCAGCCGGGCCGCGCGCGCGCTCGCCCCGCCCCCCGCGCGCTCCAGCGCCACGCACACCCCGCCCAGCGCCGGGTTGGCGCCCGCGCCCCACTTCACCCTGCGGGGACACTAAGCACCTGTACCTATACGACTCACTAGCCACTAGCTCATTCCAACTGCATTCGACTTGACTAGAAGAAAACGACGAGAACAGACATGGCAATCGAAATAAATAATAACATCGGTGTGAAATCTGAGATGGTCGAATTGAATGTTGTCAAACCTCTGATGTGCAGAATTGATGAGAGTTTGGGCCTTGGTGGTGGCGGCGGAGAGTTTCTCCACGCACGACGTCAATTCGCGGGAACGGCGCGCGAGTTGCGCACTCGTCTCTTGGTTACCTCCCAGCACCTACGATTTATCAAAAAACTATTAAGTGTAGTGTAAATTAAAGTAGAATTTGGCTTTTTAATTCGGCTCGAAGGACCATGTGTGAGTAACGAAAAAAACGAAGCCACAACTAGAATGGAATAGACGTATAATTAAAATATTATAGAGGAAAGTATTCGAAAACTGATGGTAGTCGCTCCACGTACAAAATCGTTGTAGTAATAGACTTAAAGCGGTCCTCAACCTTGTTTTGAGAAAAAGGCTCGAAGAAAGAGAGGAAAGAGTGAGGAAGGAATAAAATGGTTTGTTAATTTCTCTCTACAATATACGTTGTGATTGCAAGATTTTCACAGAGATTTGATCATCGTTAGTAAAGTAATTTCTTATAAAGTAGTTATCATTTTCATTAATGTAAGCACACAGTAATATTTATGTATGGGCATTTCTAAGATTATCAGTTTTTAAGTGTTTGATATAAAAGCACAATAAATTGAATCCTTTAAATATTATGCTTTCTTAGGACAATTTGTGTTAACATGAAATAAAATATAAAAAAAAACAAACATTTTTTTTAAAACGAGAAAACATATTATTTTGAATTAGGTTTTGCAAATCACTTATTTACCCTACTACTACTATTTAATGTAAGTATAAAGAGTGGCATACCTCCGCATGGAGATGTGTGTGCGCGGCGTGAGTGAGTCGCGCGCGGTGCGCGTGCGCCGCTCGTCGCGCGTGGTCGGAGTGTGCGCGTGCGGCGCGCTGCACGCGGGCGCGCGCGCTCTGCACGCTGCGGGCCAGCGCCGCGCCGCGCTCCGCCACGCCGCCCGCCACGCCGCGGCGACGCGCCTTCTCGCACAGCGTCTCCAGGGGCACGCTCCATGACGCGCCTGCCGGATTAACCGTTTCTTCACCTTACAGATATCTATATACCGTCCGACTAGTTCGATAATCTTTTAATCCAAAAAACCGCCGTTAGACAAATAGGGTAGGTAAAACATTACTTAATATTTGAGCTATATTGTACGAAACACGAAACTCACCGATTTCTTTCTGTTCAACTTCTGCATGCAAGTCTAGTCGAGCGCGACGCAACAGCAAACACAACACGGATGCGAGCGCCTTAGAATGTACGCCCAGAACACAACGGGACACATATTCCGCGGTGAATCTGAAATGTTACAAAGAAATGATTTAAAGTATTAAAATATCAATAAAACGATAGAACAATAACAATACACGTCTATATTTTTCTTACATCTAGAAAAAATGAAAATTACTTGAATAATGAATTAGATTACGATGCAAAAATAAATGAAAACAAAATAAATCTAGATAATAATTTAACTGTAACTACGCAAAGACTACATTGTCTGACTGAAATGTCTTTTTAAGATTATTCCAATAAAGTCGCCACTGATAGGTAATTATTCCACAAACATATAATACTACCAAAATGACAGAATTTTTTCACTCAGCGCTAATAAAACCCAACTACCGCTAATGACGGTTAAGTAATTTTTCATAATAATTAGTATATTTTGACCGTTTAACATATAAAAAACCAACTCACATTTGATTAATAAAATTTTTGAGTATCTAACGATCAGAAGTATATAAGGGAAACAGAATTAAACCCTAGCCCTAATCGTACTAGGTGAAGAGTGGCACTAAACTTAATAGAAGAGGCGACACGGTTGTTTACCATCAGATGACCTATTTGCTTGTTTAAAAAAAAAGAATTGAACTGATAATTGAAATATGTATTTGCCTCCTACTTGATGTAAAGCTATTGTGAATACGAAGATGATTTACGCTTATCCAATACAAACTGACACATTGTAACTCTTAAGCGTTGCATATAACAAAATCTAAGGTATTTACAATTTAAATTTTACTACCTTCTTACAGGTTTGCAGAGAGCGGCGTCATCGTACAACGTGACAGGTCCAGTTCCCTTGAAGGAGCACGCCATCTGCGCGCACATCGCAAACACTTCTGCAATAGTCTGTACACGCCGAATCAGGAATATGTCTTCTAACACTGACCGTAGAATGGGGCTTTGTAACGCCGCCTGAAAACGCAAAAAAAATCATTTATCAGAATTCGATTATGCATATAAGAATATTTTAAATGTTGAAAAATATATTTAACTTGATATTATTTAAAATATTAAACTAATTAAAATGGGTAGTTGCAGCTTTAGAAATTAATTAAGGTGGGGAAACCCACTATTTAATTTCACCCACAAAGGGCACACCTGCCAACAAAATAGGTGTACTCGTATTCCTACAGATGCTACGTTTAGAAGCGAAAGACGTGCCGAAAGATTGTGAATCAGCACCTCTGAGATCTCTGGTAACCCTAATCAGTATATCTTACTTGTGGGAGATTCTCTTCTTCACAGTATCTGGCAAATTGTTAAGGTTTAGACTTAGTTGTTGTCAGCTTTGAAGTTTAATTTATTTCCTTCCTCAATTACCATCCAGATAAAAGTAACAAAGTGTAACTACTTACCGACATATGCATACTTTCGCTGATGTGATCGATCTTCCTCCAAGCTGGCGGAATAGGTATTGCTAAGTGGTCAGCCAGCTCCTTAGCTCGAAGCTCAACCGCCGCGAAGAGGCCGTTGAAACCCATCAGGAGCATACGGCCCGCTGATTGACCTTCCGCATCGGAGGGAGAGGTTGAAAGTAGTGCTTCGTAGCGAGTTCGAACTTCAGCAGCTATAAGTGGCGCGCTGCTTGCTGGTGACTAAAATAAAGTAATGACATTCGATTTTAAAAAAATTTGGTCATCCATTAAATGTTACAAACTTAGACAAACAAAAACATCTAGTAATCTAGTTTATGTAGATAATGTTATTGATAGTCTAGACGAGACAGAGAAATTAAAAACAGATGCTCAATGACATAAAAAAGTTAGATTCAAGAACAGAATTGAATACAAAAGACTTACTTCCATATCCATAACTAAATATCGAAGATGTAGCTCCAGTTGTGTTAACAATTCATTCAATGGTACTGGTGAGTTGATAATAACAGCGTTCAACTCATTAATCATCAAGAGAACTGATGGGTCTTCAGAATGCAGTTTCTTCACCGCTTCAGGCAATATTATAGTGCTAAAGTTAAAATTCAGTTGCACCAGGTCAGCTAACAATAAATTCGCGTTTCTTACACATTCTACTGCGACAGGCATTGCGGCGTCTTCAGCTGACGCTGATTGCAAAGGTAGTAGTGACAGAAGTTCAACTGCCTGCATAGAAAGTGCGCTCATGTCGTCCAAGAACCATTCTCCTTCTCTAGATGTCAAGTCAACAAGGCAGTCTCCAGCACTTTGCGCTCCATTTTCGAGCATCAAGTATCTTCTATTCAAGTTGCAAAGCATTCCTATAACAGCTCCTTCTAAAGCTGCACCTGAACCTTCTTCTGTCCTCACCCAATTACTAATGTTTGTCTTAGCTTCGCGGTAAGCCTCCTGCGCTAATGCCAGGGCATCAGGTCCGCCTTCCAGTTGTAATCTTTCAATAGCTTTCGTTAAATTTGTATTTGCTTCAGTATTCATACTTTGCAAGCGGTAATTGTATGATATAATCTGTTGTGATGTGTCATTTTTATTGTTTTCAGAATTGACTAGAGTTGTAACTTGATTGATGACTTCTCTACACACGTCGGGGCTTTTACTTTCTAGAGCAGCAGCCAAGAACTTTCTGAACATAACGATACGATGATACTCTGTATGGCTTTGGGGATAGTACTGAGAGACAGCAACATATTGTGAGAGCAGTTCGAGGCAAGCCCTGACCACATGATGTGTTTGCTTCATACTTTGGTACAATTCAGTTTCAGCTTGCTCGCATTGTGATATCATAGAGCTTTGTCCAGCGTTTGTCAAGAATTCTTTGATATGTTCAAATATAGGTTGTTCCTCCTCTTCGTTAGATCCAGAGAACTCTTGTACCCAAGCAACTAGTTGAGGTCCATTAATCGCTTCAGTAGTGTTGGCAAAGTTTTCAATTTGCGTATCAAAATCTTTTAGAATCTTCACCAGTGCCTTCATGGAATCTTCAACAGCATTTTTAGCTTGTTTGTATGAAGTATACTTTTGAGATATCGCGTACAGCGGGTGGGTGTTGAGATTTGGTCCATATGCTTCTATTTCCTTGATCATTGCCATCTGTTGGTGACAATCTTTCAGCCTAGTTTCCACTGACTTTAATTCTTCATTTTCTTTAAGCCACTCATTAGTGCATTGCTTGATTTCGGGTAGTACAGCCAAGAATTGGTCTCTGGAACAAAGATTTTCATTATAAAACACTTGACGTGATGAATGTTTAGTGGGGGAACATTGAGCGTGAATAAATAATGGGGCACAAGACGTTGAATACGTTTTTTGAATTATCTATTAACTGGAGGATTACCTTGAATACATTACAATCTGTCTATAAAATATGTTTTTTTTTTTGCATATATATTGAATAAAGATTTTTAACCATGTTGATAAGATTACTGTATTTTGTGTTCTGTTCCCTAGTTTTACTAGGTTTCTAATCAATATTCCTTTTCTTTTGTATAGAATAATCATGAGTTATATACAAAAAAGTCATATAAGTAGCTGTAAGACACAAACACATTACAAAAAACTAAGAAAACGTACTGGAATCAAGACCAGTTCTGTAAAAGTTTAAAAGTTCTTCAGTTATAATTATGTATAGGGGAATTAAAGCGTTCATAAAATAGGCATAACATTACAGACCTGTCAACACGGCCACCTGGTCGGAAGGTCACGCAAGACGTGATCGTAATATTTCTCTGTATACATATGTACGTAATAATATATCACGAAATGGATTTTTTTCAATATGCACTCAACCGCTGATATGAATATTTAAAAACCCACTTAACAATTCACGTCCCATTTTTGGCATTGTTTGTTTGCAACTGTTAGTGGATACGATTGTACAAATATTCATCAATGGATATACCGACATTCTTTCAATGTTAAACAGTATATAACTTTATAATAAATTACTTTAATGAGTATTTTATTAAAGTTACAGTAATGTCAGTATAGAGGGGCAAACTAGTAGACAGGTCACCTGACATGGACACTTCTTTTTTTTTTTTTCCGTGCGGAAATCCCCTCGGATACCACCTGTCGGTGGCATGTCGGACTCGAACCGACTAAAACCGCACGCCATCTCGGGTAATAATAGCCGGGGAACCAGGTATACCCTAGAAAGGAAGTCCCTGGTGCCCCGACATACCTCGGGTCATCTACAGACGAGTAGACTGACATGGACACCTGGAACTCCCAGAGACACTAATGCCTTGCCACTCTTAGAATCACTGTTCTGCTCCTAAAGGTCATAGCGTGATGTTTACTTCTTAACACTCAATCTAATATTTAAAGAATCATTTACAAAACACTCACGAGTCTTGGTAATGTTATACCAATAGAGTAGGAGGACTGTAACTCCGTTTACACACAGGAGGGGCTCATCAACCCGCCGTAGATGGCGCAAGGTACGTCAGGGTTACAGGGATTTCCTTTCTAGGGTACACCTGGTTCCCCGGCTACTGGTACCCGAGACGGCGTGCGGTTTTTTGTCGGTTCGAGTCCTACATAGCCACCGGTGGGTGGAATCCGAGGGGATTTCCGCACAGAAAAAAAAAGGGAGTCTGTAACTCCGACACACAGGCAATTTAGTTGCCTATCTAGGAAAACAGCTAACAATCCAATTCATTATAGCATAAGTATTTTATAACTATTATTGTAACCTATGTATTGTTATTGTAATGTAGTTGTAAAACCTAACTCGGCAATAAACTTTTTATTATTCAAATCTGACTGATAGGTTCAGAGCATATTCATCATCATCATCATCAACAGCCTTTAACAGTCCATTGCTGGACATAGGCCTCTCCTTAGAAAGGAGGTTTTGGCCTACTATACCACGCTGGCCAGACGGGTTGGTGTCAAGTTTTCCTTCTCTCTGCAGTGCTGGTGTCCTGCGTATTTCGCTCCCTTAGTCGCCTCTTACGACACCCACGGGCTGAATAGGGTTGGTGACACTCTGTATTCTTAATCCGTCACCACACGGAAATATTGCGTGTTGTGACGGATTAAGAAAATGAAATGTTTGAGCCCTTTTATATTAGTGGTGTGTAGTATAATATTGTATAATAATAAAAGCTAGTATCTGAGCGACCTACGTTAAATTCATCGAGATGGAGTCATGTTACACAGAGTGGTGTAAGTCGTCGTATAGTGTCTAAATTTCAGTTGTTATTACGTAGTTGCCTGCCTCTATATTTAGTTTGAAACTAGATATCTCCGTAAAGTTTGTATAATGAATAATAATTATTATATTATTATAAGTAAATACAAACAATATATCAAAATTTTATAGCAAATTATTATAAAAGCTTTTATACATAAAGTTAAGAAAGTTTTCACCAGATATTGCGTACTGTAAACGTCTATTCACGAAACTGAAATTACACCTACAACTTTTGGACTCGGTGCAAAGACGAGTCTTTAAGAGAGTCACAAAATATAGATCTTTAAACAAATTTTCTCCAAATACGTGTAAGAAGTAATCTTTGGTACGAACTTTTCATTATTTTCATGACATGTTTTTTTAAGAAGTAATAGAATGAGCAAATATGCTTCTATGGTGGTTTTTAAATACATTTCGACGGGCCTGTTGGGCTAGTGGTTAGTGACCCTGACTGCTAAGCCGGAGGTCGTGGGTTCGATTCCCACCCAGGACAAATATTGTGTGATGAGCACGGTCATTTGTTCTGTGTCTGGGTGTAATTTATCTATAATATGTATATATTTAAAAATATATAAGTATGTTTATCAGCGGTCTGGTTACCATAGTACAGGCTCTGCCTAGTTTGGGATCAGACGGCCGTGTGTAAGATGTGTGAGATATTATTATTATTATTTTGCCTAAGTATGTATATTTAGGCAAATTTGGTGTAAACTTAAAAAACTTACGTCACTTCCCCTAATTGATGCTTGAGTTCATGGGCGCGCACCGCCAACATGGCCAGTGCAGCTTTGACGTCACGTTGTGTACGCCTGCGTTTTCCACCACCAGTTCCTCCTCCCCCCCATTCTACCAGCGGGTCATAGACGAAAGCTTCCAGGAGAGTGAGTAGAGTCTCTCGGCCTCGACGCATTGTTCGTATTACGTGCTCGCAGGCGAGGCGGAATATGCCCTGAGGACAAAAAGAGAGACAATTGGTTTTCAGGTCTGTATAGCACACTTAATTCTAGGTGCATATTATAATTAATGTGACGAAAGAATTAGCGATGTATTGAGAGAAAAAGATTTAAGCGACATTATTCTAGGAATATTTTTCTTTTAAGGAATCAAGTTTCAACTATAGCGCTTCGAAGGAGCACAAAGGGGACATAGGGGTTCCCACACAGGACGGGGTCATTTACGCAAATAGATGGCCCGAGGTACGTCGGGGTATCAGGGTTTTCCTTCCTAGGGTACACCTGGTTCCCCGGCAACTGGTACCCGAGACAGCGTGCGATTTTTGGTCGGTTCGAGTCCGACATAACCACCGGTGGGTGGTATCCGAGGGGATTTCCGCACAGAATAAAAATAAAGGTATAATATTTGAAGAAATAGCACATTTTATAAAAGATCATCTAAAACAGAAATCGCTTAACATTATAACTGCAATAATAAATCCTTAAGTTCTAAACAAGTACAATGAAACGAGGCAATGCATGCCGTCGATGCTGCACAAAGTAGGTTACATAACAAGACTTGTGCAGTTATATTAATAATACGTGCTGATTGTTACAGCTCCACACTCAGTGTGACCTACTCCCTTTAGTTCCAGCTAATTTACTATCGAAGTGGTTTGCAGTTCGGTACATTCTGAAGCAGATGTAAAATTTTAATTTCCTACCGTAAATCTACGTTGACATAAAAATACGTTTGTTACGAGTATTAAGAGCAGGCGATCACAACTACTAGTACTACACAAAAGTGTAAAAAATTCTATACACACCGATAATAATCCAAATTACTTAGTAACTGCTGATCCTGGATCACGCATACTGCATACGCATCCTGGATCCTGGATACATGCTGCATTTTCTGCAGAAATCTTCCTATTATATCAGAAGCCTACTCTTAGATAATTCTTCAAGCAGAAGTCTTAAATCACTTACGAGCCAGAGTAATTTTCATTTGTTTAGTTGTGGATACAATTGCTTTACGAAGATGTTTCTAGAATAATCCTTTCATCAGCATCGAAGAATTCTATAAAAATATTTTCGTTGATCTGTACTTATAGTCATCTTATTTCCGAACCCATTGATGGCAGACATTTTGGGAGAATAAATAAGAATAGAATATAGCGTTTAAAAGGGAAATTCGGCGACTTTATTTAATTGAGAAAGCTCCTAAAACAGACTAGCATAGATAGTTCAACTCAGTTGTGCGCGCGCGATACAACTTTCATTCGTGTGGCAGTGACGCGGCAGTCGGACGACGACTGCCACACGAATGAAAGTTGTATATTTACAAGACCACGCACACATAGGGCCGCGCGCACAACTGAGTTGAACTATCTATACTTCTTTAGTGAACGTATGAATTCAGTCCGGCAACAATAGACGTATAAGTATAAATATTAGTAAACTGCTTTTATGTAACTTCATGTATGAATTTCCTACAGGCATAAATACTTTATTTCTTCTTCACAAACGTATACAAACTTAATATCTAACTTTGCCAAAAGAAAAATAGACGCGAAGTTTGAAAACTTATATAACTTGGTAAGAATGAACAATTATCATGTTTTACAATTAGGTTACGGTTCAACGACTTTATATAGTTTGATTAAGGCTGTTCAGTTTCAGGTACTCAAAGGGTCCTTAATCAAGTAGCGGCAACTGCCAGTGGTTGTACGGAGTTATACACGTGAATTAAAACTCGTACATGTTAAACCACGTGTCTCGACCTGAGGCACCTACCACAAGAATAGTTTTCTAATTAGATGTAGCCGCCTACGCAACAATTACGTTTAAATTTACTCGGATTACAACGGATATTAAGCTTACTCGCTATGAAATAGAACATATTTCGAGTACGTACGTATTTAGAAATTGTAGAAAATAAAGTATAAAGCGAATGATTTTGTAACATATATATTTAATTACACATGTATATTATGTATATTTAGACACAGAGGCTAAGCATTTTGCATAACAAGGCAATCATCATCATCATTATCAACATCAACAGCCTTTAATAGTCCACTGCTGGACAATAGCCTCTCCTTAGAAAGGAGGTTTTGGCCTACTATACCACGCTGGCCAGACGGGTTGGTATAGGGTTTCTGTCAAGATTTCCTTATCTCTGCAGTGCTGTTGTTTGTGTAGTTAACTCCCTTAGTCGGCTCTTACGACCCCCCCGGGCTCACAAAGGGCTTGTTACGGCACCTACTCGGTAAAAGCTTAATATTTAAACATGAATTTCACTCGGATCGGAAATTTTTCGGGAATCTTAGAGAATATTTATTTATAAGGTATTTTTTAAGCCCGACGCAAAAATGATCATGTTATACTCATAAGTTTCAATATCTTTAATGACAGTCGTGAGATCAAAAGTTGAACGAGAATTAGGCCTTCAGAACTGTTCAGGGGTAAAATCGATTTGTTAATTGCATTTAACCGACTGCGAAAAGAGGGTAATGTTTTTCGAGCGCATCTATGTATGTTTGTCTATTTCTTTGGCTCTATAGATGCGCTATGCGCATACATACGTTTGACGAGTGAACTTTGGGGAGGCCACGATCACATCATGGACCGTACTGAAAACGAAATTAGGAAGAGATTGTCTGATACAATGACACAAGTCCGTGTGGTGACGGATTAAGAATACGGAATGTCACCACCCCTATTTAGCCCGTGGGTGTCGTAAGAGCCGGCTAAGGGAGCAGACGACGCAGGACAACATCACTGCAAAGAGAAGGAAAACTTGAAACAAACCCTATATCAACCTGGCCAGTGTGCTATGGTAGGCCAAAACCTCCTTTCTAAGAAGAGGCCTATGTCCAGCAGTGGACTGTTATAGGCTGTTGATGGTGATGATGTCTGATACTGGTTTGAATTAACAATAAACATAATATATAAACAGCCCTAAAAATAATTGGCTAATGATTAACACCATAAAAAATATTACAGTTTCAAATAAAACCTGTAAGTCTTCTTTTATCTGTAAGTAAAATGATTCCTAAAAAGTCTGACAAAATCTTTCATCTGTTAGGGTATTTTTAATTTTGCAGCATTAACGTGCAAGTTCCACAAGATAAAAGAAAACAATATGGCCACCCGTAGACCAACAGCAGACACATTCATTCTAACGTCTTAGAGCTATTGAAAAATTCCAGTGCTCGTTATTTGTCGCCAGCTAAGCAACACATGAGGGTAGGGCGAGGGTGGACAATAGGGGTGCTAAACAGACAACATTTACTGAAAATTGTTTCTGGGTGTAATTTAGTTCACTCGAAGAGTCAAGTTTGAGACATGCGATTCGGGGTAGAAATTAATTTACAATTCTTATTCGACATCTATTAGACATTGAAATGTGATATTCGAAATGTATTACATAGTACATCTGTCCAAATATTTGATTTAAGTTTTGATTTGCAAATTCAAATTACAAAACAAAACTTGAAGTATCGCAATAACAATAAAATAAATCTATTAGTTTTAGATGATAGTATCAGCATATTTCACAGAATAGATTCTAGATTACATTGCAAGAAAATATTTTTGGCTGATTTTCACGTACTGATGTATACACTACGTTGGCATTATATTAAGTTACCCCTTTTTACTCAAGTATTTCGAGAATATATATTAAAATAGTTACGGACCCGACAGGCGCACTTTTTCAAGGAGAGAATTGTGTGAAGAAGTCTATATAATAATAATAATATAATATACTACCACATTCACACAACGCCATCTAGTTCCAAACTAAGCAGAGCTTGTACTATGGGAACTTAGCAACTGATATAAATACATATATACGTTTTTTTTGTAAATACATACATATTATACATAGAAACACCCAGACCAAATCATACATTAAATTTTCATGCACACAAATGTTTGACTTGAGCGGGAATCGAAGCCGCGAGCCTTTTGAATAGCAGTCCGGTACACAAACCACTACGCCGTCCGATCGTCGTATAAATTCTAATGTGGGTTAATTTAACCAGTATAGCTTAGGAGTGCACTAATTATTCAGTGCTTGCTTTTCTGTATACATGTGTGACAACCCAGAGAACTGTATCCTCACCGGAAGGGACTTGAGTTCTCCTCTCAATAGTTCACGCTGACCGAGATACGTCGTATGCACAGCTTCAACTGGTTGCATTTGTCTTTTATCAGAATAACTTGTTTCAATTAAAACAATTATAGAAATTTTTTTGACTGCACGGATGGCGTAGTGGTTTAAGCGGTCGCCATGCCGCCTTCCTACTGCGCCGAGTGTTGTGGGTTCAAACCCCACATGGGACGACACTTTGTGATCCACTAATTGTTGTTCTGAGTCTGGGTGTTCTTTGTGTCCGTTTCATGTATGTTTGTAACGTCCCCCGCGACACTGGATATATTTCTTATGCGGGAGTTGCCTTTTTAAAGAAAGAAACAAAGATTTTTGAATTATCAGGAGTAGGTATCGGCCAGTAGATTTATTTTATATTGTAAGGGGCGTGGGTAGGCCCCTATAAGTTGGTGCGACGACCTGGTGAAGGGTGCGGCAAGCCGTCGGATGCGGACAGCACAGGACACCTTGTTGTGGAGACCCTTGGGAGAGGCCTATGTCCAGATGTGGACGTTTTTCGACTGAGATGATGACTGGTGTTATAAGTACAGCAGAATTTACGGAAGCCAACCATAAAGATATGCAACTCACTTGAGTGCAGCCCCACCTCACAAACGAGGATGAGGGAGGGTCTCCGTTAACCTCATTCATCCTTTGAAAAGTGGTGTAGTTTGTGGTGTTTCCACTAAAAACAACCCCGACGGCCGGACTCAGTCGCCATACTCCGAGGAGGACCCGGACCATGTTATTTCAGGTCCCCCGGATCGACGCAGCTGGTAAAGCCCTATCCCGGGGAAACTTTTTCGCGACCAGGCCACCATCCTATCGCCTACCGCAGACTGCCAGACAGTGGGGAGGTGTCCCCACTCTCTGGCAGTCTGCGGCCCCATCGACGGCTGGTATCACCACCGACGTCCTCTACGTTCGGGATCGGCCCTCTCCCGATTCCGTTCAGCGGTCTCTTTCTGGAGCATTACAGCTTCACAGAAAAAGACCACTGCGCCCCAGCCCTTCTCACCCGCCAGCATGGCAGCAATGATAGCTGGCGGGGACAGGTCTCGTCCGATTTGGTCGACCAGGACATCACGTTCAGAGCCATCCAGTCTTCCAGCGTGTGCTGGGCGGAGTCCCGTCTCCTCGCGTCCAACCCGATTCAGGTACTCACCGAAGCAGCCAGCCAAACTTCAAGGTTAGGCAGAACGGCACATTGGCGCGCATTCCGCGGTTGTTGCAGCCGCGCGCGCCACTGCATCAGTGCCTGTCGGTGAGTGTTCCGACGCATTCCGACACCCTGGCGGATCGCGCGAGTCTGATTATAGACCCTCGCGTCAATATCCACCAGGATTTTAAAGGCGGGTAACGTACCAGGACTGTCACCGCCTCCGACGAAATGGTGCGGTATTCCCGTACGATCCGAAGGGCCGCTACCCGCTGCATTTGATTGAGGTTAGCGCGGCAGCAGGAGGAGGCAGATAGGCGCTTGGCCCATATCGGCGCTGCGTAGAGGGCCATGGATCTAATCACCGCACAGTAAAGGTGGCGAACTTCCTCTCGCGGACCCCCTAGATTCGGCAACAGCCTCTGTAGGGAGCCCGCCACTCGGGGATCATCCGCTTGAAATGCTCCTCGAAGCTCCAGCGGCTGTCCAGGGTGAGGCCGTAATGTGCCGGCCGATCGATTTTAAGTGATATCTTATTAGCAAAAAATACATACTCTCCTATTTGATTTGTTAAATATGTAAGTCATAACTTGACGTGAGCTAAAAAAATGAATGGCTGATTAAGTATTTAAATTGACGAAAAGTGTATTGCTACTGTTATACAGGACTAAAATATTATTACGATTCACTCCCAGATGTAAACAAAAACAACCTGTACAATAATTTATAATAAACCCTTGAAAGTTAAACGCAGAACAAACAAAGCTTTTGCATCAAAGTTCATTATTAAAATCTTACGCTTTGAGAGTACCTCTCAAGAAAATTCGTGCTGTTTAAGTTGGCGTTAGTTTTTAACTATCAGCCGCTTGGTGTGACCGACACTTCATTAAAAGTTGGGCGGTGACTGCTAAGGTATAGCTCAAGTAAGATCTGGAGACTGTTTCAATCTCACAAATATTTACGGTTAGGAAGTAGTTTACACCAATTTTAAATGTCTTGACGTTAATTCGTGGTTGATAGTAGATATAAGTTAAATTTTAAGACATTTGTTTGACAATTTGAAAAGATAGATACTACTCGTTCTATGTAAACGTACTTAAATGACGTATTTTAAGAACCTGCAACAAGAATTTTATAGATTAAGGAGCCAATGAGCTAATTTGGTCATCTGATTAACTACCGCCGTCAATTAACACCCGCCACTGCAAAGCAATTGGGGGGGTGGATGTTGGGGCTCCGATAAGGCAACGAGAAGACCGGTTTTCTGTGAGACTGTGGTATCACTTCGGTTGAGGTAACATTTTTGTGCCGAAGCATGACTCTGTATGTACGTCCCGGCTTATATCTACCGTCTTTGCGTGATTAAGTAGGAGTTGGTGGATATATAGACAGACACGTAAAGCGATACGAGGTAAAGAAAAATAAACGTTTTACTAACATGTGTATTTCGGGGATGTTCGACTAGTTTTGGACCAACTAGCACTAGTACGTTTATTGTTTGTTGCTCACACGAGATATAATGGTAAAATGAGATTTCTTACATAATCTCGTGGGTAACTCATATTGTCCTCTGTATATTGGGTATTATATAAAATACCTGGCCAAAGTACAAGACAATTAATCTTTGAAACATGATCTACGCATTTAAGGTATTTTATACATTTAGGCAATGTATAGAATATATATGTATATATATATATATATATATATTTATATTCTATAATCCTATGCCAACCCGTCTGGACAGCCTGGTACAGTATGCCAAAACCTCCTCTCTAAGGAGAGTTCTATGTCCAGCAGTAAAATATTAAAGGCTTTTGATGTGTGATAAAATACCTGAAATGTGTGGTACGGTATTGTATACGGGATTAGTACAATCTGATTTAAATGGATTTATGATTGCTTTTAACAAAAATATTACTGATGCAATAAATAATGTTAGCAATAAAGCGAATCCTCGATCCAAAAAATAAAACACAACACCTGAAGATGTTTGATAAATAATGTGAATATTATACATTGTTACTTATGTATGTACATAAATAACTTTTGTGTGAGGGTTGAAAGGGGAGGCTCAAGATATGTTACAAGGTTTTGTTTCACCACTACTGAATTTATGTAAGTGTAAATATATACCTTAGAGGGCTTTATGACTAAGCTAACAATATATTCCAGTTTTCATTGTAAAAAATACATTTACGATCGTTAATGGTTATCTACTAAATGTTAGTCTCCAATGGCGGATCATCCTTAAAAGACTTATACTAAACATATTGGTAGTACACTGAAGAAGGGCTATAAATGATAGTGGTAAAGGCGAAAGTTGTATGTCAGGTTGGGAAAATATGGACAAATAGCATTCTATCACTGCTACCTACACCGGTAGGAAATTTAGCGTGATATATGTACATATGTATGTAGAATAGTGCTGTAAATTTTACTGACTGTAAAGAAGAGAATTGATTAAGCAAAAATATTTAACCCTTTTGGATAAAATAGCCAGATCACAAATTAAACACACCATAATCCATTAAAGTTTACACAGACCTATTACAAAACCGAACGTAGTTTAAATCGAGTACTGACTGTTAAGTTTTGTAAAAGTAAAGTTTTACAAGCGCTCGATAGATGGCATTGCTCAGTACGGCTGAATCTCTCTATTTTTGGTTTTCGGGTTTAGTATATAAGCGGGCCTATATTTTTGTTATGACGTCGATACTTAAATTTGCAGAATTATATCGGATTGGTTTGCTGAGCTGTTCGAAGTTTCATTTCTCTCGTCCGAGGACTCTTGAAGTTTAAACACTGACAAATAAATTATAACTGCGAAAAGTCCGCTTTGTTAAAAACAAGAACATTATAAAACACTTATGTAGTATTTATATCCGTGTGGTGACGGATTAAGAATACTGAGTGTCACCACTCCAATTCATCCCGTGGGTGTCGTAAGAGCCGGCTAATGGAGTAAACTACGCAGGGCAACAACACTGCAGACAGAAGAAAAACTTGACACAAACCCTATACCAACCCGTCTGGCCAGCGTGGTATAGTAGGCCAAAACCTCCTTTCTAAGGAGAGGCCTATGTCCAGCAGTGGACTGTTAAAGGTTGTTGATGATGATGTAGTATATGAAGTACACATATGAAATATATTCTATAATTAACAATATCGTAGACTAAAAAAAAACCTAATCTATATTGCTTTATTTTACACTATGAGGGTAGTGAACAACCCTCTTGTTATATTTAATTAGTTAAACGAAGTATTAATTAATGTTCAATCAAATCCACAAACTGCAGCAATTTCTTAGAATAACAAATTCAATAATAAATTAAATAAATCATAAATCTGAAGCACAAACCGAAAACATTTCGATTTGATTGAAAACTAATTCAACGATAATAACTGTAGTTAAGAATGGCGTTGGAGTAACAATTTCGTAGAAATTTTGATTTGATTACAATTATACATTTTTATTATGTATAGTAGGCCAAAACCTCCTTTTTAAGGAGAGCCCTATGTCCAATAGTGGACTATTAAAGTCTGTTGATGTGATGTATGTGTATACATTTTTACGTCTTAGTGAACAAAAAAAATTTATATCGAAGAAAAAGGACAGTAGTTTTATTTAAAGCTATCTTTAATATAATATAGTGGAGGAACGGGCGTTCTGTCCATCGTACTCAAAGGAAGATCATGCCTCGGGGACCGCGGTCGATATGTAGATTTTTTTTATGAAATGGGAGAGTTATTGAGCAGATGGAGTCCCCTGATGTTAAGTGACTACCGCTGATCATGGCCACCTGTAACTTAAAGAACAATGGGGAGAAGGAGTTTGTACTAAATCCTTCTTTTTCTGTTAATCTGCCCCTAAACTATGGCCAGTGCAACC